TATTTCTAATTTGGAAGTGTCGAGTGCTAATTACTCAACTGCGTGGAGTTTGTTGTGCGAACGGTATGACAACAAACGGCAACTTGTTAATCATCATTTAAATTCTTTGCTTAATTTACAACAATTGTCAAGAGAATCCGTTAAGTCACTTCGTTTTATTGTAGATCACGTAACAAAAAATTTACGTGCATTAGCCAGCTTAGGGCAGCCTGACACGTGGGATGTGCTTATCGTACATATACACTTTACAGCCGAACTTTAACTAAGTGGGATGAATGGCGTGGTACGCTTGATGATGTGCCTAATTTGCAACAATTTCACAAATTTTTAATAGACCGTGCCGATGTTTTGGAGTCGTTGCAAAATTCGTCTAGCATTAATAACAAGGTTTGAAGGCCATTAGGATTATGATCATTTAATAAGCCTGAACGACCACAAACAAAAACCTTTGCTTGCAGTAGTGAAACAAATATTACAAATTCTTTTTCTTGTGTCGTTTGTCATGGTGATCATAGAATTTATGATTGCGCTAAATTTAAATCTAAGAGTGTACATGATCGTATCTCCGAAGCTAAAAAATTAAAGTTATGTTTGAATTGCTTACGCTATGGTCACGATGTGCGAAATTGTAGGCTAGGGCCGTGTCGCGAATGTAAGAAAAGTCTTTTGCATTTACCACTTCCAAATCATAAAGGTTCTGACCAAAAGGCTACTACATCCTGTGCTGTGACGTCAGAAGGAACTGTATCTAACTTTTCCCATGAAAACTCGACACACGTTTTACTATCAACCGCATTAATCAAAATATCAAATCCTAATACAACCAAATCCATACAAGTGAAAGCATTATTAGACTGTGGTAGCCAGTCATCATTCGTAACACAATCCCTAAAGGACAAACTATCCTATCATTACAATCACACAGCAGCAATGTCGTTAATATTGTGGGGATTGGTAATCATCACACTAATAAATCAATTGATACTTGTGTGGCCCAAGTTAATTCCTTAACCGAACCTTTCAAGGTCACACACTCTTTCCTTGTTTTACCGGAACTAACAGGCAATATTCCTAAGTTCACTATAGATATTAAGCTATTAAACTTACCTAATAATATAAGGCTTGCTGACCCTACATTTAACCAGCCTGCGCCGGTTGATATTCTCATCGGTGCCGAACTATTCTGGGACATTCTAGGCTGCAAGCAAATCACGCTTGGCCCTAACTATCCTAAACTTAGAAGTTCCAAATTCGGGTGGTTAATTTCAGGTCCAATTTATGCAAATCAATTCTCTAAATGTAACAATATTCTATGTCATTATTCAGCTACAATGTCAAATTCTAATACTGATTAAAATATTATCAATCAACAAATGTCGAAGTTTTGGGAACTAGAAGAAGTTCCACGAAACCGTCATTTAAATCCAACAGAGAAGGCATGTGAAAAATATTTTACGAATCACACGTTCCGCCTTGAATCAGGTAGATTTTCTGTTAGTTTACCCTTCATAGATTCGCCTGATTGTTTAGGTGAATCTTACAGTCTCGCCAAAAGACGATTACTTAATCTAGAGAAACGTTTCAGAAAACAACCAGACGTTAAATTACAATATATTAAATTTATACGAGAATATGAAGAACTAGGTCATCTAACCGAATCAATTATTATAAAACCATTTCCTTCATATTTTCTTTGTAACCATGCTGTTTTTAAAAATAGCAGTGAGTCGACAAAAATTAGAGTCGTCTTTGATGGTTCAGCCCCTACATCATCTGGGCATTCCATCAACGACATCCTAATGGTAGGCCCAAATTTACAAGATAGTCTGTTCTCCATTCTTATTAGAGCTCGTCAGCACAAATATCTTTTAACCGGCGACATTGAAAAAATGTATCGTCAGGTTCTAGTACATGAACAGGATAGAAATATGCAATTTATATTATGGAGAGAAGACGAGTCTCTGCCTATCAAAACTATGATTCTCAATACAGTTACATATGGCATGGCGAGTTCTAGCTACCTGAGCACGCGATGTCTATGGCAATTAGGCGAAGAATGTGCAGATGAAAGCATAAAAAACTATAATACAACATGATTTTCTAGTTGATGATTTAATTACAGGCAGTGACGATGAACAAGGTTTACTTTATATTCAAAAGGCCGTTACGTCTGAACTCAAACGTGGATGCTTCAATTTAAGAAAGTTTAAATCTAACTTACCTTCAATTATTTCATCAATTTCAACTAGCAATGACAATTTAACTATAAGCGAATCGACAAGTACATTAGGGATAGGATGGGAACCAGACACAGATGAATTATTTTTTCCTATTCAAAACTTTCTCTCTTATAATGAAAATTTAACTAAACGAATTATATTATCATCATTATTTAAAATTTTCGATCCTTTGGGATTATTAAGTCCTTGCATAATACAAAGCAAGATACTCTTGCAACGTTTGTGGCGGGAAAGGCTAGGTTGGGACGATCCAGTTCCAAGTAAAATTAAATGTGCTTGGAATAAATTTATTAAAGCTTTGCCTGCGCTCACAACAGTTAAAATTCCAAGACTCACTTTATGTGACAAACCAATATCAATAGAACTTCATTCTTTTAGTGACGCTTCACAAGAAGCATATGGGGCATGCATTTACCTTCGTTCAGTGAATTGCAACAACGACATTACCGTCAGACTCTTATGTTCAAAGTCTAAGGTAGCTCCCATTAAACAGTCTACAATCCCCAGACTAGAGCTTTGCGCTGCTTTATTAGCCACACAGATTTGCGGCTGTTAAAACATCTTTGCGATGTCAGATACAACGAAATATTCACTGGTGCGATTCAAGTGTGGTGTTAGGCTGGCTTAATAGTAGCTATCAAAATTTAAAAACTTTCGTTGCAAACAGAGTTACCGAAATTAGTGAACATACAGACATAGCATCTTGGCGCTATGTACCAACCAATTTAAATCCAGCGGATCTCATTTCTAGAGGAGTCAGTCCTGATCAAATAGCAAGCAAAGGGTTTTGGTGGTCAGGACCTAATTTTCTATATGAGCCAGAAGATAACTGGCCTATATTACCAAAACAGCAACTTGATACAATGGAGTTGCCAGAAATTAAACGAAGCATAGTTTCAGTTCATGTTACTTTTAATAAAAATTCTGTAATATCATTTGAAAATTATTCGAAATTATTAAAATTGAAACATACATTTGCATACATGCTACGATTTATTTATAATTCAAAACATCCAAATAATCGAATTTCCGGTGTTTTAAGCGTTGAAGAACTAGATAACTCATTTAATTATTTGTTTCGCTTAGCTCAACAGCAGTCATTTCTTTTAGAATATAATTTATTGTCAAATGGAAAACCAATTAGTACAAAATTAAATATTTTGTCCTTAACGCCATTTTTCGATGACAAGTTCAAAGTCATTAGAGTCGGTGGACGCTTAGACGCTTCAGATTATGCCTACGACAAAAAACACCCAGTTCTTTTGCATGCGTCCCACCACTTAACGAAATTAATTTTTGAATACGAGCATAGACACCAGCTTCACGCCGGTCCACAACTGTTGCTATCCATAATAAGAGAATATGTTTGGCCAATAAATGGTAGACATCTCGCGCGTCGCACAGTACGCAATTGTTATATATGTAGACGAATTCAAGGTAAAACCTTTGTGCCAATAATGGGAAACTTGCCATCACAGCGTATCACTCCAAACTTTCCATTTAGAACTATCGGTATAGATTTTGCAGGTCCATTTTACACACTAAATAGGAAGGGCCGTGGTTCAAAATTAGTAAAATCCTATCTTTGTTTATTTGTTTACGATATAAGTGCATACATTTAGAGGCCGTATCCGATCTTACAAAGGACGCGTTTATACTTACATTCCGTAGGTTTGTGTCTCGTCGAGGAAGGCCAGCGGAAGTGTTTTGTGACAATGGCCGTAACTTTGTATCAGGAGCTAAAGAATTAAACAATTTTTTTAAATATCATGAAACATATTTTTCTGTTTTTTCACACGATGAAGGCATAAAGTTTAATTTTTCACCTTCTTACGCACCGCATTTTGGCGGCATCTGGGAGGCTGGGGTAAAGTCGGCAAAATTTCATATAAAACGTACAATGGGTAACTCTCATTTAACCTTTGAAGAGCTGTCTACACTTTTCGCACAAGTAGAATCAATTTTAAATAGTCGTCCATTATACCCTCTATCCTCCTCTCCCGATGATCTTCTGACTCCTGGACACTTTCTCTTTGGCCGAGCTCTCACTGCACTGCCATCACCTACCTTGGAAGACATCAATCGCAACAATCTTCAACGATACGAACGAATACAACAAATACATCATCATTTTTGGAAGCGCTGGCAACGGGAATATGTCTCCGAATTGCAACAACGTTGTAAATGGAAGTCTTACTGTTCCAGCTTGAAAGTTGGAGATATGGTCCTACTTCATGAAGACAATGCGCCACCTCTCTGTTGGCGTTTCGGGCGCATACAACGACTGTTTCCTGGTTCAGACGGCGTGGCCCGAGCAGCTGATGTCTACACAACAAAGGGATGTGTTCGCCGCCCCATCGCTCGACTATGTCCTCTGCCTACTGCAGAAGACTTCAAAGATTAGGAGTTTGAAAGCCATCGCCTTTCAACGGGGGGAGGATGTCTGCGCCCAAGTTTTTATGAAGCAATTTATTGCACAGACTCAACAACGCATCGTTACAAAATCATATTTGAACGTCTGTAAAATAGTATCTCCCTGCGACACAAATCATTCAACTTTGTAACGGACAACATTGCGCTCTCACATATTTTTATATTATTTTCACTGTGAAGTAATTTCAAAATAAATGTAAATTATCCAGACACTTTGTGTTTGCATTTATGTCCAATACGAGACACTATGTTTAAGTATGTTTATCTGTTATCTAGTACATATTGTTTAAAAATGTGTCCTAAAATATTTATTATTATTTTATTCAGTACGTGAAGGACAACTTGTCACTGATGTCCATCGGATTCCTTCTGGGCAGCCCCGACGATGCGGTCATTTGGAGGGGTCCCAAGAAGAATGGTGAGTGTAACAAAGTAACCCCATCTTGGCTTAAATACTGTAAGGAGGTTTTAAACAGGTTTAAGTAGGTTTATTTTTCGAGGTGTATAATTATGTACGATTATTCCAATTTTTTTTTTACAAAATATGCAAATTTTCATTTGACTTCAAGAACGAGTGAGGTGAGAACACAAACAATTTCAATTGTATTTTTTTTATATTTGTTACCTCAGAAGTCCGTCATTTGAACTGCTTTTAAATTTATTTTGCTAGTATTGAACTGAGGCAAAATCAAATAGAAAAAGTATAATTAGTGAGATATTTGTCTGTTGTGTTTTTTTTTTTAATTTTTAATCTGTTATACGTAATTGAGGAAACGAAGCACATTACACATAGTGTACTTCCAAACAATTTAACAGTGTCATCAAGTAATCGTCTTACAACTAACTGTAACTTACTTACGAACTCGTGTATTGATTTTTATGTAAAATTTGGCGTTTCATAAGAACACGCAAGCATATTTGAATAAAGATATTTATGGAAAATAATTTTCTTAAAACTGTGAAAACTCTCTCATAAAGTCTAATATTTGATGACACAATAATAATTCAATTAAATTTTCATCCAATGACGAACATAAAATTTCTTCAAACATCTTTTAGTAGAAATGATGTATTGAAATGATTGATAAAGAGTCAAATGATATATTGTCTTTTTCTTGGCTGTATGGTCATTTGTTTCACTTTGTGAAGGTCGTTGCCAATCGAGAGAACCTGACGCAAAATGTGCACAATATTTCATTGACGCACGAAGGATTTGTTAAATCATTTGTTATTTACGTCAGGTATGATCAAGCAATTCCTGAGCGAAGTGGAGTGGGGCGATCTAGACTACCTGCTGATTGATACTCCGCCAGGTAACAAATATTTCACACGAGTAATACAGACATTGAAGACATTCATTCCGTCACCTAATTATGATGACACAAAACTTAAACATAAAAATAACAGAAAAAAAATTACATAAATAAAAAGAAAAATATTACAGAAAAGACAGATATACAAGTTACATTTGTTTACAGATAATGTTTTAAAACTAATTATAATAATATTAACAACTTAAAATAATAAAATGTATGTGGCGGAAGGGACCGGCTCAGCATTAAGCAGCAGGAAAACACTAATTACATACAGGGCTAATTATTCGAAGACTACAACACACAGTTTTCTACAAATTTTTTTATAAGAAAGTTGTCAAGAGAGCAGACGGTTCACCTGATGTTAAGTGAATACCGCCGCCCATGGACATCTGCTACACCAAATACGTTGACACCAGACGAAACGCGAAAGTGATATACTTAATTCCACTTTAGGTCGCTTTAATATGTGAAAATTACTGTCACCAAAAAGGTTTTCGTCACGTTATAGTCACTCCGTGATAAAAAAAGTCAACTTTATATCAATTTTACAAATACGTGAAATATCTTAATAAATGCACGGTTTACTGTTTAGTTCAATCGGTTTATAATCTCCATCGTAAGCAATTTTTTTTATGTGGACATTTGCAACATGCTGCCGATGCGTTGCCACCTTTTAATAAAGTGGGCCCCGGCTACCTCACGCACCAGACGAAACGCAGAAGTGTAACACTTGCACTTGGCGCCGGTCTTCTGTGAGGTCGTTTTACTTCCCCGGACGGACTTGCCCATTCGTGCTACAGTAAACCGTTGTATCGATTAAAATCGATAATCTGTCGAATGGTCTATCCCGGCCTGACAAATAATACTAGGCAACGCATTCGCAAGCCCTCCGGTGAATACTTACCGGCGGTGATTACTTACCGTCTGGTGAGCATTCTGAAAAATACCGCCCAAGTGCGAATCGAATTCGCGTACGAAGGGTACCGTGCCATTGTTTATAAAAACGCCAAAAAAAAGACATGTTGTACCACTTTAATATTTCTTTATTCTGTTTTTTTTTTAGTTATAGCGTTATTTGTTGTTATAGCGGCAACAGAAATACATCGTCTGTGAAACTTTCAACTGTCTAACTATCACGGTTCATGAGATACAGCCTGGTGACAGACTGACAGACAGACAGACAGCGGAGTCTTAGTAATAGGGTCCCGTTTTACCCTTTGGGTACGGAACCCTAAGAAACAAACAACCCTGGATCAGGCACTTCGGACGAGCACCTATCCGCCGCGCAGTACCTGGCCGGGGCAGGGCTGACAGGCGCCGTCCTGGTCAGCACCCCCCAGGAGGTGGCGCTGCTCGACGTGAGGAAGGAGCTGGACTTCTGCCACAAACTCGGCATCAGGGTGCTCGGGGTGGTGGAGAACATGTCCCTCTTCGTCTGCCCCAACTGCAAGGTACGTCCTGCAAGTCGGCCGAAGCAGCACCCCAATCTCAAAACTAGAGTTTCGGAAACCTTGCAGCTTTTTTCTCTTCGTGCCTTCGCAACAATGTGCAGTTTACGCGCAAATATAATAAGTATTTCAATATTGAAATATTGTAACCAATACTAAAATATCATACCTTATTCGATTGATTGGTAACTCTTTGTACTTGTAAATACTGGTTCAGTGATAACATCAATTTCGTAACTTTTTATCAATTCAGTCTGGTGAAACTTAGTTAATATGTCAATCTGTTTGTTTCTTGCGTTAGAGCTTTGATAAACTGTTGCGCGCACACAACCACGAGATTGATTAAATCATTTATTTGTATACAAATTGCAATTGCAACGCACGTCCATCAAAAATATTTGCTTCCATATATCCGTGTACGTAAAACTCTCCGGTAGATTGACTTAATATTTGTTCACAACACAGTTGCTGAACAGGAGAGTTTTATTATATTTTTTGTGTCTCGAAACAAAAAAAACACACCAGTAAAGCATGGCCGGGTTCAGTATCCTTGCTTCAGCTAGCAGTCTATAATCTATTACGCGTCCATCCATTGTATTTTGTATTATATTTAGTATGGCAGAAGAAGGGATTGGGTAGTAAGTCACAACAGCGATCTAGAAGATCTGTTGTAGTCTTCCCTTCGAAAACATTGCACCCCATATTGTAGAATAACAGTATACAACAAAAATGTTGTGTTGTAGGGACGTTTGACACGCACAAATTTCCCGTGAGCAAACCCCCAAGTCCGAAACAATCTGTGAGTCGCACAAATAGCTGTCTCGTGTGGGAATCGAACCCACAATCACGATGTGGACGATACAGGGGCGCAGCGAAATATTCCCGGCGACGACGGGCGGCGTGGCGCAGATGTGCTCCGAGCTGGGCGCGGCGCCGCTGGGCGCTCTGCCCCTCGACCCGCTGCTGGCCCGCTGCTGCGACGCAGGCAGGGACTACCTCGCCGAGATGCCCCTCTCGCCCGCCGTCGGCGCCCTGCACTCGATCATCGACAGTCAGTCGCTTCCCCACACCGCTACGCCGACTTAGCTCTTAATAGAACGGACGCTTTCCTCAACTTTACACACTCACGCCCGGTTTCTGAAACACTGATCATCGTGGAATCTAACCAATCATCTGTCAAATGTCATTTAAGTTGCCTAAAAGTTGGTTAAACTCTTTGGATTGATCATTCTGATCATTAAGAAAATCATTCTGACCGTGATCGGCGTGAAGTGGAAGTGACATACTTCCGCGTTTCGTCTGGTGAGTGAGGTATCCGCTGCCCATTTCAGTAAAAGGTGGCAACGCATCTGCAAACCTAGGGGTGTTGCGAATTTCCATGGGCGGCAGTTTTCACTTCTCACATAAAAAAAAACTTTCTGCCACTTCCGTACTTTACACTACACAAAAGTCGTCATCAACATCTAGTTGCCACCGACAAAATTAACTCGTACAAAACCTCCTAACCAAAGGGAGCTACACAATTTTTTATTGCTTAACTGTGCATTATCCAGATCAACTCGGCAGCAACTTGATAAAACTGTACGATTAATTGGGCACGTGACCTCGACGAGTCGATCTTTCTACAGGAACTTAGTTGCTCCTTTTCATAATTGCCCATAGGATGATATTACACTCCCACAATGACACATCAAATTATCTTACAATCCAAAGACGTTTTACAAATTTCAACAGTGCCAACCGAAATATCAAATCTGTAATTTCTCTTTAAACTATCATCACTCCCATACAAGCTAGTGGAAATAACAGAAAAAAGTTCTTTGGTAGCGTCATTTGTAACATGAAAAAAGATTAATAACATGATTATTTAAATATAAACACATTACATAAAATTATTTATTCTCATGTGGTAATTATATGTCGTCTGTGTAATAAATCTTTTTATGTAAAAATTTACGTGAACCTTTTCTTTTGCAGAACTTGTGGAGGCATGCCAGAGTTGAAATTCATGACGAAATTAATTTTCTATGGACTAATTTTACTTAATGTTATTATTGCAAACAAATATATAACTACCTAACCTAGTCAATAAATATACAAATTAGTAGCCAGATGTTATTTTAAGTATTAAAAATGTTCTACATTGGATTTTGTTTTATTGTCCAATTACATAAATATGATTAATGCTCTTAAATGTATGTTTGGCAAATTTTGTTGAATTACTTTTCCATGATGTTTAACTATATAAATAATTGTATTTTTACACACTCACACTCTTCCTATCTAAAAAACTACGATTTATCATAAGAGAACATTGAAACGGCTTACGAAATATTAACGTCGCAGAACTGTTTACAAAAATTTTATTATTTACGAAAGACAAGATTACTCAAATAATCAAATACTCTACAACAATTCAGCTTAAAAAGCTTACAACAATTATTTGTAGGTGTTGTTTTTATTATTATTTGTAGTTGCTTAGTCTTAATGCACTTAAGCACTATAAAAAAAAGGTTTAAAAGTTTACAAAAAACAAGGGGATATCTTATACAGGCTGCGAATCAGGAACTTTTCGTTCGATGGCGAACGCGTTTCATTAGACCGTTTCGCAATCTTCGACCTTCTCGTTTGTATAGGCGAGCGAGAGTAAAACCGTCTAACCAAAGCGCGATGTAAACCAGCGGACTTGGACTATTTCTTCGATTAAAATGTTCTATCGACGTTTGTTTAATTAAGATCGACAGGATTTACAATACAAATACATAATATAATGAAAAAATAGTGATGGAAAAAATAGTAAATTTTTCTCATATAAACGTAAAGTTTTTTATTTCCGTGACTTACAGACACAGTTTCCTGTTAATACAATCTGTCGACAGTCACGTGTTGACTTTTTTATTTTATCATACCAAAATTTTATCTGTGCATAAATAATTATATATTGAATGACAGCCAATGACTGACATATTGTTTATTAGCAATTTGGGCGAAAATTTAAAAATAAAAAAAAAAATTAACAAAAATCCTACGTATTTTTTTAAATGGAAGTGAAAAAAATAAGCACCACCTATTAGAATGGTATAGTGCAATGTTACAGTTATGATATTGCACCACTTTTTATTTAATTTTCATAACCACAAATGAGTGGAACACTCGGTCAAAATGCCTTCTCATGAAGAGGAAGATAAGCCTTGCAGGGCATGCACTGATTTCAGAACGTGGGCTAAGCAACAAAAGCCGAAAAAAGGAGTAGCCAATCCTACGACCGACCAGGTAATGTTAAGTAGAATTAAAAATCTGTGTTATTCTTTACTTAATTCTGGTTAAACCAATCCAATAAGTCATAAGATTACTGGTGATTACTCTCAAGGGACACAAAATATAAGTCGAATGAATCAGCCATCGAGTCAACTTAAATAAAAATTGTTTTACTTTATTTAATATGAAATTGATGATAAACAAGTTTATTTCCTGTTAACCTGTTATGCAATATTATTTCAAGGTATAATATTGGGCCATAATTTAAATTTATATGCCTTAATGAATATATTTAAACCTTAATGGTTATGTTTACATCATTCAGCCTCAAGAAAAGCACAAGGAGTGTCCTTTAGAACAAAGATGAATTGGGGAGGTCTACGTGGGGCTTCCTACATTCAATGGCTTCATACTATCCAGAAAAGCCCACCACATCGCAATCGCAAAACATGACAAAATTTTTCAATATTTTTGCAGAGTTCTATCCATGTGAACCATGTGCATTAGATTTCAAAGAAGAGTAAGTATATATTCTGTTTTTTCACTTATATAGTTAGCTGAACAGATTACCTCATAAATCTATTAACTTTCTGAATTTATGACCTTTGTGCATGTTCTTGAAATATTTTGTTTACCTTATGTTCTTTTGTTATATTATTGTCAATATAATTACATAATAACATGTGAGATCTATTCACTTGGTATTATGTAGTGTACACCAGTATTAAACTTTGTGTCTTGTTTGGAGTCCATTTTTTGACCATTACATGGACAGACAGAAATAATTGCTAATCTTTTTTTGTAAGAGCTTGGTTCCAAGCATGATAGGTTAACCTTGTTACAATAAGTACTCTGATTCTGGGCAAAATGGAAGTTTTGCACAAGATTTTGCAGGTCCCAGCAAACAGGCTGACTTAGACAGAAAATTATGTGTTGATTTTCTTTTATCTTATTTACATCCAACTTATATTTCTTACATCACATGGTATAAATAAATCATCTGAGGCCTATGCCATTTACATCACGACAAAGTAAATATTCATTTTTGAGAGAAATAACCCCATTTATGATGATTGGGTGAGATTACAAAGCAATTGATGATTTAAAAATGGAAAGAGATGCTTATTGCAGATTAAGGCAACAATTTAAACAAGAAAAAAAGATCATGCAGCAGCTTTTCTGTAGTATGAATCAGGCTTGTTAGAGGAAGTACCACATTCTCTGTCTTCTGAGAGTGGAGGAGAGAGAGGCATATGATAATTTCACATTTCGCCTGGTGAGTGAGCTAACCGGGACCGGAGATTATTAATTCTTGGCGACTCAATAGATGTTCAGAGCCAGCTTTAATCACTTGAGTTTGAACCGCCTGCTCGCCTGCACCTTTATCAGTAATTTGTGACCAAGAATAAATTATGTATCAATTTATTTTAGCATTAAGAAACATCCACCGAAAACAATGTCGAAAGATGAGCTGGCACAGTGGCTCTGCGAAAGACATAATACTGTCAATGTCAAATTAGGAAAACCAATTTTCGACTGCAGTAAAATACACGAGAGATGGAGAAACGGCTGGTCAGATGGCTCCTGCGATTAAACCTGTTTGTTTTTGAGGACACTGCTGTTTGTTGTTGTGGATTCATGCCTCTACCTCTATAATAATATACTCCTAATAACCCTTCAACATTTCTCAGTTTCCTGTTAATGCTTATTAGCAATCCAAAGAATCATATGTAAGCAAGGCTTGATTTTTTTATTTTAGTATTATTTTATTATGTTCCACTTTAATTTTAAAATGGGGCCAAAGCAATTGCCTCTTCAATTTATGGAATTAATGGAATGGGTAGGATTATTGGATATTACATTTTTATCATGTAAATAGTTAGTAACAAATATTTAAAGGTTTTAATAAGTTTTTAAAACTTGGTAGTTTCATTTTGAATAAAATTTTCATACCTCTATAGGTGTGAAGTACTAGGAATAAAATAATGTGATAGCTGTATAACAAAGAAATATTGTTCCTGAAAATTCATAATATACATGTGTTTGGAAGTGTTTTCTTTTACAAGAGTATTTGCATTTTTGGTGGTTCTATCCTAATATGCATAATAGCTTGTGTTACAGAATTTTACATGTTAAATGTATATATTTTATATACATTTCTAGGTTGAAAATAAATCACTATTGTTGACTTTTATGAGTTTCATTACTTTCATTCAATTCCATTCAAAGTCGATTATTATTTACAGTGTATAAATGAAAAAGTGAAAACTTTTTTCTTTTTTTATTTAAAATTGGATTGAAAAGTATAAACTCCATAATTACAGAATCCTTATCAATCTAAGGTTACATTCAATTAACAAAACAGCTCATTGATATAACATTTGAATTTTGATTTTGAATTTTTTATCAGTCACTTTAAGGTAAGTTCACAACAACACAGAGTGATCAAATCACTGTTTGGTTTGCTCTCATAAGAATTCCATTTCCCTTTCGATGCCAACAAATTTCAGCTGTTCTGTTGGTCCGTATCTGAAATATAAAGCAAAATTAATTTTTCTGACATTAATCGAGCATAGCTTGTCAAAAAGTTACAATTTGTATGACTTGATAATCATTAAAATATCTCTCTTCCGTGTTAAAATTACAAATAAGATATAAATTTATTAATTTTTTATAAATTTTCATACTATATTGGAATACATTTCATAACGAAAGAATGAAGAGTACAACAATAAATTTATTAGTGCATATGGAGACAAACATTTCAAGGCTGAATTGGTGAGTCCACCACAGTTATAATGTTAAGAGGGCAGTAGCAAGCTCAAAGCTGAAGGTTATAATTTCAAAAGCCACAGATTACAGGTTCAGAGTTATTGAGTTTGCAAGTTTCATTTGTACACCTAATTGATATATACATATACAGCGTGTCGTTACCATCGCGACAATAAATGAACACACATATAGGGGATAACTTTTTAAAGTTGTATTAAACATTTAGATTCTTTAAACATCAATATTTACAGAGTTATTAAATTTTCCAAAACAAAGAATTTTAGAACACCCTTACCTATAAAAGCGTAACGTAAAGTTCATTAGTAAAGGTCACAAAGCATATGAATGGGTTGAATGAATTTAAAAGAGACAAAACATACTGTTAGAAGGAGAGGCTTGTAATACGACGCTGTGCGCGAGTTGTATAGGATGTTACAAATTTTGTTTCTTTTTTACTTAATTAGTTTGTTTGAAAAATATTTTTTTTTAATTATGGATTTTGTTTAACGTTAATACTTTTTTATGATTATTGGCAAGTAGCGATAGACGTGTGTTCATTTATTGTCGCCATGGTAACGACACGCTGTATATATAACTAACTGACCTGGCAAACATTGTTTTGCCATATAAATTAATTGTAGGGTAGAAATTTGGAAAAAAATTAGGGGGGATGAAAAATAGATGTCTGATCCTTCACCGTGTCCGATATGCACACAAAATTTCACGTAAAGCGGAGGAATTCAATAACAAACACCGTGACTCGAGAATTTTATATATTAGATGTATATTATACTACTGCATTCTCGCCTGTGGTGGTTCCACTTCTTCAACTCTTCTCCCTCTCGAAAGAGTGCAAAGAGGCGTCTTAAAAGTTTCTCTCGGTAAACCAATCAAATACCCAACCGACACTCTTTACCAAGAGGCACGGATTTTGAGCGTCAGGAGATTATACATTATGAGAGTAGCAGTGCATGTTCACAAATCCGTGATAAACTCTTATAGTTATGGAGATATGCTACAAAAACGCGTTTTTAAAGTGCCTGGTATAACGGCGACTTCCTTTTTCGCACATAGATTTGGAAATTTTCTCTTCCCATATATATAAGTATTTGTCATTATAAAAACAGTTCTATTCGGGAATTGAGAAAACTAGTGAAAACCACGCTCGAAAACTGGAGTTACGAAAAATCAGAGAGTTTTATTAAAATTGCAAAATGAGATTTTATTTATCATTGGCAATTTTAACATCGAAAAGTGAATTTAGTATCCACTGACACACATGCACACACAACGTGCGCCCGCACGCACACACACTCACGCACACGCTCGCAGACACACACGCATATGCACACGTAACACAGACACACATGCACACATTCGTTTATAAACTATTCATTCATCATTAATATTATTGTCATTATTAACACAACTTTGTTTTTTATAATTATGTATAACCGTTTCTAGATTTTCTTTTAATTTTTTTTAATTTCTCTTTTTTTGATATTCTAAGTGGTTCAAATTGTGTTTACCGTTCGTGTGCTGACACTAAATTGTGGAAATCATTACCTTCCCCCATAGGACAGGCTGCGCCTAGTGTGGGGGTTAGTATTTTATCAATTATAAACCTTTATATTATAATAAATAATATTTTCATTTTTTTTTCATTAATATATACAGCGTGTCTTTACCATCGCGACAATAAATGAACACACGTCTAATGCTACTTGCCAATAATCATAAAAAAATATTAACGTTAAACAAAATCCATAATTAAAAAAAAAAATATTTTTCAAACAAACGAATTAAGTAAAAAAGTAACAAAATTTGTAACATCCTATACAACTCGCGCCACAGCGTCGCATTACAAGCCTCTCCTTCTAACAGTATGTTTTGTCTCTTAATTCATTCAACCCATTCATTAGCTTTGTGACCTTTACAAATGAACTTTACGTTACAGTTTTACACGTAAGGGTGTTCTAAAATTGTTTGTTTTGGAAATTTTAATAACTCGGTAAATATTGATGTTTAAAGAATGTAAATGCTTAATACAATTTAAAAAAGTTATCCTCTATATGTGTGTTCATTTATTGTCGCGGTGGTAACGACACGCTGTATAATGAACAGTACTAGGGTTAAATGTATTATACATATATTTTTTTTTCAAACGGGCTGGCGGTTCACCTGATGTAAGTGATAACCGCCGTCCATGGACGTTTGCGACACCCGTAGAATTGCCACTGATAAAGTGGGCCCCGGCTACCTCACTCACCTCACGCCGGTCTTCTGTGAGGTTGTGGTACTCACTATAATATTGGCATACTCGTTTCTCTATTGAATCACCACCGACCTGTAGTCGAAGAACAGCTCCTCCCCTGGCTGGATTGCGCGCTTGGCGAAGATACCGATGCGGTGGTCGCCGTTCACCATCATCACCTTGGCGTAGCAGTTCGGGTTGATGGAGTGGTTCGCGAAGCGGATCTTGTTGCCCTTGCGAGTCGCGTCGACGACGAAATCTTGGAGGAGAAGCGCACGTCATTGTCATAACTCTTTAATAGCGTAACGCCCTCGCGTCGCCTATGGCACTGACCGTTGTTCAGGTTGAAGAGGAAGGAGCACATGTACTTGTCGTAGACCTTGCCGCGGCGGTCGGCCTCGTCCTGCGAGATGATCTCGCCGCAGTACTCTGAGATGAACTCGTTGCGCTGCGCCGCCTCCTTGAGGAAGATGCCCCAGCCGGCCACGTCGGAGGGCGCCAGCAGCAGGTGCTTGTGCGCGCCGCGCTGCACGCACACGTTGCGGCACACGGCGAGGGGCGCGTCGGCGCCGCACGCCACGCACAGGTCGGGGTCGCACTCGCGCACGCCCAGGTAGCACGGGCACTGCTTCGTGTTGCACTGCGCCTTGCAGCGGCAGCCGGGGAACCGGTTCTGGCCTGCCAAGAGCGCGCACGTCAACAGAGAGAGAGAGAGAGAGAGAGACGCCCAGGTAGCACGGGCACTGCTTCGTGTTGCACTGCGCCTTGCAGCGGCAGCCGGGGAACCGGTTCTGGCCTGCCAAGAGCGCGCACGTCAACAGAGAGAGAGAGAGAGAGAGAGACGCCCAAAGTGGCATGGGCACTGCTTCGTGTTGCACTGCGCCTTGCAGCGGCAGCCGGGGAACCGGTTCTGGCCTGCCAAGAGCGCGCACGTCAACAGAGAGAGAGAGAGAGAGAGAGAGACGCCCAGGTAGCACGGGCACTGCTTCGTGTTGCACTGCGCCTTGCAGCGGCAGCCGGGGAACCGGTTCTGGCCTGCCAAGAGCGCGCACGTCAACAGAGAGAGAGAGAGAGAGAGAGACGCCCAGGTAGCACGGGCACTGCTTCGTGTTGCACTGCGCCTTGCAGCGGCAGCCGGGGAACCGGTTCTGGCCTGCCAAGAGCGCGCACGTCAACAGGGAGAGAGAGAGAGAGAGAGACAAGGTAGCAGCTTCGTGTTGCACTGCGCCTTGCAGAGAAGAGAGCGCAGAGAGAGAGAGAGAGAGAGAGACGCCCAGGTAGCACGGGCACTGCTTCGTGTTGCACTGCGCCTTGCAGCGGCAGCCGGGGAACCGGTTCTGGCCTGCCAAGAGCGCGCACGTCAACAGAGAGAGAGAGAGAGAGAGAGAGAGACGCCCAGGTAGCACGGGCACTGCTTCGTGTTGCACTTGCGCCTTGCAGCGGCAGCCGGGGAACCGGTTCTGGCCTGCCAAGAGCGCGCACGTCAACAGAGAGAGAGAGAGAGAGAGAGAGAGAGAGACGCCCAGGTAGCACGGGCACTGCTTCGTGTTGCACTGCGCCTTGCAGCGGCAGCCGGGGAACCGGTTCTCTGGCCTGCCAAGAGCGCGCACGTCAACAGAGAGAGAGAGAGAGAGAGAGAGACGCCCAGGTAGCACGGGCACTGCTTCGTGTTGCATTGCGCCTTGCAGCGGCAGCCGGGGAACCGGTTCTGGCTGGCCTGCCAAGGCGCGCACGTCAACAGAGAGAGAGAGAGAGAGAGAGAGAGAGACGCCCAGGTAGCACGGGCACTGCTTCGTGTTGCATGCGCCTTGCAGCGGCAGCCGGTTCTGGCCGGAACCGGTTCTGGCCTGCCAAGAGCGCGCACGTCAACAGAGAGAGAGAGAGAGAGAGAGAGAGACGCCCAGGTAGCACGGGCACTGCTTCGTGTTGCATTGCGCCTTGCAGCGGCAGCCGGGGAACCGGTTCTGGCCTGCCAAGAGCGCGCACGTCAACAGAGAGAGAGAGAGAGAGAGAGAGACGCCCAGGTAGCACGGGCACTGCTTCGTGTTGCACTGCGCCTTGCAGCGGCAGCCGGGGGAACCGGTTCTGGCCTGCCAAGAGCGCGCACGTCAACAGAGAGAGAGAGAGAGAGAGAGAGAGAGAGACGCCAGGTAGCACGGGCACTGCTTCGTGTTGCACTGCGCCTTGCAGCGGCAGCCGGGGAACCGGTTCTGGCCTGCCAAGAGCGCGCACGTCAACAGAGAGAGAGAGAGAGAGAGAGAGAGAGAGACGCCAGGTAGCACGGGCACTGCTTCGTGTTGCACTGCGCCTTGCAGCGGCAGCCGGGGAACCGGTTCTGGCCTGCCAAGAGCGCGCACGTCAACAGAGAGAGAGAGAGAGAGAGAGAGAGAGAGAGAGACGCCCAGGTAGCACGGGCACTGCTTCGTGTTGCACTGCGCCTTGCAGCGGCAGCCGGGGAACCGGTTCTGGCCTGCCAAGAGCGCGCACGTCAACAGAGAGAGAGAGAGAGAGAGAGAGAGAGACGCCCAGGTAGCACGGGCACTGCTTCGTGTTGCATTGCGCCTTGCAGCGGCAGCCGGGGAACCGGTTCTGGCCTGCCAAGAGCGCGCGCACGTCAACAGAGAGAGAGAGAGAGAGAGAGAGACGCCCAGGTAGCACGGGCACTGCTTCGTGTTGCACTGCGCCTTGCAGCGGCAGCCGGGGAACCGGTTCTGGCCTGCCAAGAGCGCGCACGTCAACAGAGAGAGAGAGAGAGAGAGAGAGGAGAGACGCCCAGGTAGCACGGGCACTGCTTCGTGTTGCACTGCGCCTTGCAGCGGCAGCCGGGGAACCGGTTCTGGCCTGCCAAGAGCGCGCACGTCAACAGAGAGAGAGAGAGAGAGAGAGAGAGCCCAGGTAGCACGGGCACTGCTTCGTGTTGCACTGCGCCTTGCAGCGGCAGCCGGGGAACCGGTTCTGGCCTGCCAAGAGCGCGCACGTCAACAGAGAGAGAGAGAGAGAGAGAGAGAGAGAGAGACGCCCAGGTAGCACGGGCACTGCTTCGTGTTGCACTGCGCCTTGCAGCGGCAGCCGGGGAACCGGTTCTGGCCTGCCAAGAGCGCGCACGTCAACAGGGAGAGAGAGAGAGAGAGAGAGAGAGAACGGTTCCCAGGTAGCACGGGCACTGCTTCGTGTTTGCACTGCGCCTTGCAGCGGCAGCCGGGGAACCGGTTCTGGCCTGCCAAGAGCGCGCACGTCAACAGAGAGAGAGAGAGAGAGAGACGAGACGCCCAGGTAGCACGGGCACTGCTTCGTGTTGCACTGCGCCTTGCAGCGACAGCCGGGGACCGGTTCTGGCCTGCCAAGAGCGCGCACGTCAACAGAGAGAGAGAGAGAGAGAGAGAGAGAGACGCCCAGGTAGCACGGGCACTGCTTCGTGTTGCATTGCGCCTTGCAGCGGCAGCCGGGGAACCGGTTCTGGCCTGTCAAGAGCGCGCACGTCAACAGAGAGAGAGAGAGAGGCAGCCGGGGAACCGGTTCTGGCCTGCAAGAGCGCGCACGTCAACAGAGAGAGAGAGAGAGGCAGCCGGGGAACCGGTTCTGGCCTGCCAAGAGCGCGCACGTCAACAGAGAGAGAGAGAGAGGCAGCCGGGGAACCGGTTCTGGCCTGCCAAGAGCGCGCACGTCAACAGAGAGAGAGAGAGAGAGCAGAGCCCCAGGTAACACGGTTCTGCCGTGTTCACTGCGCCATCGGCAGCCGGGGGAACCGTCTGTATGCACCTCTCGTTGTGTTCCCTACACGTATGAGCCCACATAGAGTTGAGCAACACCCGGACCATTTGATTCTACAGCATAACCTATGATCAGGACAGCTTTCAAATAAAAAAAACCGTATCAAACCAATCCATTCATTAAGAAGTAACGATATCACAAACAGACACGACCCTCTTTTTACGTCGAGTTCTAAAAAGCAGGTACATGAGCAAGCGGGTCACCTGATGATAATTGATCACCGCCACCCAAGGACACTTACAACCTCAGAGAAATCATAATGCCTTTGAAAAGGAGTAGACTCTCTTCTTGAACATCTCTAATGCATATTGTATGATGTGTATTTGGCACTTTGATGAGTTGTAAGAAACTCACCAGATGGTGTTAATCCGAACAATTGTTTACACCCTGTTTAATTTTTTTTAAACACAACTGATAATAACTAAAGGGTAAAAAAATATATAAATATACTAATTATTACGTATTTTAGTATCTATGTACTTAATTATAAACTTAACTTTTTTGAATGTTTTACATAGTTTAATTTTAATATAAAACATGAAAACTATTGATGTGCCTATTAAATAAATAAACGATAAAGGCTTGGATGAATATTGAGTGGATTAACAATACAAAATAGCAGTTGCTGCAACTCACAGTCGCTGCTGCACTGGCAAAACTTTTCGCAGAAGTTCTGCGACTGGAGGCAGGGGCACATGTTGTCGCACGGCTGGTTTGGGTGGTCGCACGGGGTGTAGTTATAACTGAAAGGGCGGAGAGGCTGCATTAATATGTTGAAAAGCTAAATATTTCTGTGATAAGATTAGACTCTTTAAAAAATTTATTTACTTTGAAGGTTGAAATGTCATCTTATCGAAAATAACATTGATACATAATATGCATAATTGCATAAATAGTATTCATATGAATTTTCAATTTCTTTCTTCTCCATCATCTGACAACTAAACACATAGTGGATTATTGGATTTTTGATAAGTCTCTCTGTCTTCTAAGTAAGAGTGAAGAGCATTTCTTTTTTGAGATACTGCGTTAATCTCTTTCGATTCCATCACCCCACTTTCCATTGAGAAACATTATGTGGGAACAACCAATAATATGTCTGAAAATTCTTAGTGGTCATTAATCAAAATTTTGTGCCCAAGGCCTTTTTTAGGGTTCCGTACCCAAAGGGGATCCTATTATAAAGATTCCACTGGCAGTCTGTCCTTCTGTCATCAGGCTGTATCTCATGAACCGTGATAGACAGTTAAAATTTCCACAGATGATGTATTTCTGTTGTTCTGTTTTTTATAGAAACAGTGCGCAGAATATTGTCTATGTGTTTTACATTATATTTTATTATCTGTTAATTTCATAAGAGATTTTATATGTCGTATTGAAATGTTGTGCATACCTTTAATTTAAATACTTCGATAGTATATTTCTGTTAGAAACCGCAAATTTTTATTAATAATGTTCTGTATGTATTTAGTCTGTTACATAGTCCTAGTTGAAATCCGCTGCATTATACCTAATTACGAAATTGTCATTAACATGCCATTCTATCTTGGAACATCGAAATAGGGTAACCTTCTTAGTAATAGTTCAATTGTAATATTTTATAACAAAATGAATAATATATTTTAATAAGAATTGCTTCTTTTTGCAATCTCTGGCTGGAATGTGCTGTCCGTGGAATGGAAATCCTTATCCTTACACATGGTGCGACGAGGAGTCCTTCTTGAGCTGGATCTTGCGGCAGTGGACGGACCAGAGGCGGTGCTTCTTCTTCTTCTTCCTGGGCGGGGTCAGCTCCGCCTCCACACGGCACTCCTCCTGCCCGGTGTTGATCCAGTACGCGTACACCTGCCAATGTGTTCAATTTGCACTTTGTAAGGCAAATCACTGCAACTTAGAAAGATCCAATATAGCCTTTAGACAAACATTGGCCCATCCCATTACTGTAGGTTGACATTATCCTGTGCTGTAACGATGTTTTAAATATATAAATTTTTCATGGACAGACATTCAGCTCCGAAAAAATTATCTGCGGGTCACGCAAATACTTGTCTCATGTGGGTACAATCCGTACTACTGGAGAAATGTTGATAATGTTGTGTAAAAATATCTCCTGGAATATTTATTTATTTATCTGGTTTAAATATGGGTTCCTTGTAAAATTATTCATATTCATTGATTACGTGATCATCATCATATTCATCTAGGAATGAATTCAGTCGAATATCTGACTTATATACAGCCGCAACAATAAATGAACACACATATAGAGGACAAATTTTTAAAATTGTATAAGCATTTACATTCTTTAAACATCAATATTTACAGAGTTATAAACTTTTACAAATGAAACAATTTTAGACACCCTTACGTATAAAACTGTAACGTAAAGTTCATTTATAAAGGTCACAAAGCATATGAATGGGTTGAATGAATTTAAAAGAGACAAAACATACTGTTAGAAGGAGAGGCTTGTAATGGGAAGTTGTGGCAACGAATGACACACTCTGAATGTATGAATCAATTAGTTGTAGTTGTATAGGATGTTACAAATTCTGTTTCCTTTTTATTTAATTAGTTTGTTTGAAAAATATATTTTTTTTATTATGTATTTTTTAACGTTTTACATTTTTACGATTATTGGCAAGTAGCGTTAGTCGTGTGTCCATTTATTGTCGCGGTTGTAACGACACGCTGTATATGTATGTTTTTTATTATCACCTGCTGACAGGTCTTGGACAGCATGACTTGGGCGATGGCGCAGTAGTTGGATGTGAACACCTTATGAAGAGCCCTAAACAGCGACTGATCGGAGCCCGTCCATTCAGACTCAATGTCCTCGAGTGTCAGCCCTGAGAATACACGCATATCGAATTATTAATAAAGTTCTCTAGTAGATACATGTTGAGGGGTAACGCGGGTGATTCCCACACGGAAAATACGTGGAGGTGTATTAAGCTCTAATACTGTGCCGTTTATAACGCTTTGATAGTCCACAAACCGAGAGACAACATCATTCAATGATGAATATAGACTAAGTTTATGTAAAGCGCATTTTAATCATCGGGAGTATTAGAAGCTAAACAAAACTAATACTTCCAACAAGTTTCCCAAACTAGTTCGTAAGGACCAGGGGGGAACTGGTAAGTGATAATTATTTTAGAAGTCACTGGGATAACAGTCGAATGTTATACGGCGTAAGTATGGGGTGAATTGTAATTCTTAAAAAGTATCTGGAATAAACTATCCTAAATAATATTTTATGACAACAATCGCAGCCATCATTATTCAAGATTAGAGTAATTAGTGTATTCAATTTGAGGTAGATTCATGACTAAGGTTATTTCGGGAACTAAGAAAAAAAATTGCGATATCGAATTGCCGGCTATTGGTTGGTTTGAGCAATTTGCATATTAAAAAAAAAATTAAAAAGAAACGAAGGAAAACACCGTGGGGAAAACCTGTATGTTTTCGAAATAATAAAAAAAAAATATTGCAAAGATATGTCCGCCAATCCGCAGTGGGGTCGCTTGGTGAACTATACCCCCGATACACTACAGACAGAGAAGGCCTTTGCCCAGCTGTGGGAGTGTACGGACTTTATTTTACTTCAGTCAAAGAGACTTGTATGAGCTGTGACTTTACTGTAGTCCAAGACCGTTCAAAGAGTAGAAAGGTGCACCACTCACCGAGTGCATTATAGGCTGGGTCCGAGTCTCCGGGCTTGTTGTGGCAGCCGTGGGTGCTCCAGTTGCTGTTGCTGGAATTGCTGTTGCTGCCTGCACACGGGACGACTTGACACATTTCATTAATCAAATATTATTGAGTTTAAAAACATCACAAGGTTTTATATTTGCAGGGTATACTGAAATGAGTTTAAGCAAGTAATTGAACATTGTCATGTCCCTAACCGCATCAAGTTGATCTCAAAGTACTGAGGTATTGGCTAAATCACTGACGTATCAGTGGAGCCATGGTAGGAAAATAAAGTGTATAACATAATTATGGCACTAATATTTTGATTCATATCACTATTAAGATTATTGTCTAAAACCAGTAATTACTACTTAATTGTAAAGTATTCTTAATACATATACCCCACTAGAGGATTACATTATCTTATGTTACAACAGGAATTTTTCAAAGTCGGATCAAAAAAAATCTTCTCCGACACGGAATGTGTACAAAATGCATCAGTGTCTACACTGAAGTCTGAAGCATTCAAAACGTATGAACCAGCCATAACTCAGTTACAATATTAGCTGTTGAACAAATGGTCACGTCCACCTGTGGAAGTACCAGGACCTCACAGAAGACTGGCGTGACGAGGAAGTGTTATATTTTTCCCACTATCGCCACCTTCTCCCATAAAATATCTTTTTTTTATCACTACCTTTCTGGAAGCGGTTGCTATCGTTGCTGTCTTCCGAGGAGGCGTCGTTCGGCGAGTCCATCGCGTGCGCTTTGCCCTTGTCCTCTTCACCTGCCGCCTTCTCACGGGCGAGTTTCTCCCGCATGCCTTCCTATAATCCTTACTAACATTATAAACGCAAACTCTTTCACGCAAATACTACTGAATGCATTTTAGCAAAACTTTACAATAATATAGCTTATACATCAGAATAAACATTGGCTATAATTTATATACATATTTTTATGTATATCTGTCTTTATGTCTGAATGTTCCGCCTTCAGCCTATTCTACGCAGACGTGGTCGCGGGCAGGAGCTAGTTCAACATAAATACTTTTAGCCTAGTGAAATAGGTTGTTAGACGTGTCGATCTATCGTATGATAGTATAAAATAACTCATTTTCCTATCCTTTCAGACATGGGAAACTGGAATCATCGAGTTCATAATGTATTTTTTTTATTTGAAAATGTGTCTATGGACAGCCCAGGCGGTTCCCCTAATGTTAAGTGATTCGCGGTAGCCATAGACATTTACAACGTCTGAGGGATATCTGATAAACGATCACAACCAAAGTAAAAAATGCTGAGACTTACACAAGTAACGGGTTCTCTCTTATTGTTTTTTTCAATATGACACAGTTTTCTCGTAAATTAGTATTCTTTAAAGCTACCCAAACCTATTTCAAAGCTTTCCCATACGTTTTTTTTTTTTTTTGGTAATTAAAATAGTTTAATAGTTTAACAGTTCATGAAAAAATTTTTACTTAACTTGTCACATTTATAATAATTACTATAGCTGGTAGGTGATAGGGCTACGCAATGTTTCATCTGGTGAGTGAGGTAGTCGCGGACTTTATAAAAAGGTTGCAACAGATCTGCAACCCTAAGCGTGTTGCAAATGTCAATTGGCAGTGGTTATCACTTAACATCAGCTAACCACCAGCTTGTTTGCCAGCTTCGTTGCCTTCTCACATAAAATAACCATTTTTTTATTTTTTTTTTATTTATTTGCTTATAACATGGTTTCACAAGGTGTTACAAATCATAATATTGTACCACATGTTATGCTAATTTTTATATAGCATGCAAAATATTACTGATATTCAACTTTACTATTTATATAAAGTTTGTAAAGTTTACAAGTTTTAGTAACGAACGACAAAACCGACATCAAATATCTCGCTCTTTAATCATTTTATAATTGATTTTCAGGAGTTCCCTACGTATCTCCGGAGCCCGAGATCCAATACCAATGAAATTAAAATGGGACCACATGGGAAGCACCGGCTGTCAAATAAAAAAAAGAATCATCAAAATCGTTTCACTCAGCCAAAAGTTATGAGGTAGCAAACAAAAGAAATCCAATCAAATTGAGAAGCTCCTCCTATCGAAGTCGGTTAAAAGGTGACAACTCACCAACAGCATGTAGCAACTTGAGCTGCACGGCTCAGAGAACGGTTTCAGGTCGGGCCCCTTGCGCTTGGTCAGGTTCGGTCCCGGGTGGCACGCCTGCAGACCTACAGAAGTACACAGTGTACAATAGACGGCTTCCACACGAGACGTCCATGCGAATCCCTCCCTTGCGGAGGGGAATTCGTTTTCGTTAAACTCGAATGGACTATATTTTCAAATTTGGAAAACAATTTTAGAACGCAACACTAAATTAGTTGGTAAAAACCGAAATGTAATTAAAAAATATAGTTTGTAATCTCAAACCCCCACTATAGATTTGCTTATGAAAATTGATACAGTATATAAATAGTCAACATGGAGTTTACACGACACTAAAGCCAATTGTCCAATATTTTTTTTACTCTCTTCGCTTTCCCCACGACTTTAAGAACGCAGCTCTGAGCATTGTCCGGCCCAAACAATTCTACTATTCGAAATACTTAACTACAGATAAGGTAATAAAATAACGTCAGACAAATAAATGATGATGTGGGACGATGTCAAAATAAGGTATGGCACAAACAAATAAACTTTGCAAAGTAACAGACAACACCGAAATATTATTTCTTATTTTTTTTTTTCACAAGGTGCATTTCAACCAGTTCATTCGGAAGGGCACTGTTCTACATACACATAGAAATCAAATATAACGCCATTACGAACGTGGGGAACAACAAATGGGATAGTAGCGTTGGTAAATTAGCAAAATCAACAATGGCTGATGCGAATAATTGTGGTTTCGTATTGCAGGGCTTACCTGAGGCTTGACTTCCTGTCAGCCAAACAGAATAATATAGTGTAGTAAGCCCTTATATAAAGTCATCACATGTTATAAAATATTATGCTATACAAATCACTTAAAAAATATATGAACACAAGCAACATATAGATTTGTAACTCTATAAAATAAAAATTGAGTATAAACATCCTAATCCTTACTAATATTATAAAGGCGAAAGTTTCCATGTATATTCATACATGCAAACTTTCACGATGGACGTTTGTTACTCTTTCACACAAAAAACTACTGAATAGATTCTAATGAAACTTTACAATAATATAGCTTATACATCAGAATAACACAGACTATAATTTATAAAGATTTTGTGTGAATTGTCCAAAATATAGGTAATGATAAGTATCAACTACGTAGGAAAAAATTCAGCCATCTGTGAGATATCCTGGGGTATAATAAAAACTCATTATTGATTCCCTTTGGCTACTTTGGCACTTACACTCAATAATGCATATAAAAAGTTTTTATTAACAAATATAGAAATACTTGTATATCAATAACTATGGCTATTTGATGATGCTCAATTGTTTTCCGTTTTGATTTTACGATTTTACGCGAATATTATACATATTAAATGAAACTAGTTTACGGATTTTATCCCTTTTTTGTTTTGATTTTGAACTCCCGCCGTTTCGAACCCTTTCTGCAGCATTAGGCTAGAAAGCGATAAAATCAGTATACTAGTTTCATTTAATATGTATACGTGAATGTTTCAAGCTTGTATTCAAGTTTATCGTTTACGTCTTCGGCCGTCGAACAGTTTATTGATAATGTATTTTGAGACAACCACACCCTACTACTAATGGGAGTTACGTCCAATTCAAATGAAATGTGCAGGAAGTCTATGGTTGTTACGTGGGGGGACTATGTTCGGCAGTGGGCTCAAACTGGCTGCAATTACGATTCCATTGATGGTCGCAAGACGTGTGCAACGCTGAACGGTTGTTTTGTTAGTTCCTCGGGGGTAAATACTCTAGCGGTAAATACTCACGATGCAGGAAGCAGTCGTACTTGAAGCAGCGCCTGCAGAAGAGCGTGTGGAAGGAGTGCATCGTCTGCTCGCGCGGCACCGACTCGGCGAGCGGCCCGTCCAGGTTGGGCGTGCACTCCGGCGGCAGGGCGTCCGGGTCTCGCAGCGACGTCAGCTCCACGTACCTGCCGTTACATTCGCCCACATGTTCACCGTCCGCTAGGATGAGCACACGTCTGACGCTACTTGCCAATAGTCATAGAAAAAAATAAACCTTTTCAAACAAACTAATTAAGTAAAAAGAAACTAAATTTGTAACGTCCTATACAACTACAGCTGACTGATTCATTACTTCAGAGACTGCGTCGCATTACAAGCCTCTCCTTCTAACAGTATGCTTTGTCTCTTTTAAATTCAACCCATTCATATGCTTTGTGACCTTTACAAATGAACTTTACGTAACAGTTTTATACGTAAGGGTACAATTTTGAAAGTTATTCTCTATATGTGTGTTCATTTATTGTCGCGGTTGTAAAGACACGTTGTATCGTAGAAGGGAATGCAATATTTTGTATCATAGTAATCATCAGCCGCGAGACGTCCACGCGAACATAGGCCTCCCCCTTAGAACGCCACAACGAACGACACTTTGCCATTTGCATCCACCGGTTGCCCGCGACTCTTACGATGTGTCTGACCTTCCAACGCTACGTCTTCCGGTTCGTGGTCATCAGTATATATAGTCTATAGTATTTACGGTGGTAGGGCCACGCAGCAGCCTCGGCTGTTGCACGAATGGGCAGGCCCGTCCGGGTGAGTACCACGACCTCACAGAAGACCAGCGTAAAGTGGAAGTATGGCAAATACTTTTGCGTTTCGTCTGATGAGTGAGGTAGCCGGAGCCCAATTTTCAAAAGATTGTCAACGCATCTGTAACCCTCGGGTGTAGCGGATGTCCATGGGCGACGGTATTCACTTAACAACAGGTTAACCATCAGCTCGTTTGGCAACTTTTCACATAAAAAAAAGTATGGATATACTAAACGTTGCATTTGCTTCGAAGCTGGATAGCCTTACAAGAACAGAATTTTTTTCGTATATATTCTAACATACGACTTAGATCCATAATAGAAAAATAATGCAAAGGGAGAGATGTGTGAAGTTCTGAAAAATTGGAGTGACTATCTGCATAATTGTGGGAAATAGCACAGTACAGAATCAGCTGCGTTGCAACGGCATCGGACTCCAACGCGATGGCACGAGGCACCAAGTCAGCCCAACGCCTATCCGTTCTAGTTTTACCTAATTTCGAAATTGTAATCGATAGCACACTCTATCTTACACTTCGAAATAGAGTCACCTTCTTCAATAGTAGTTTAATCGTAATATTATAAGTATAAAATTTTACTAAAGATAAATTATATATTTTAATATGAATTGCTTTCTTTTGCAACCACTGGCTGGAGCCCGCATAATTAATTACGTTTTGTTTCTTTTTGGAATAAGCCTTTGTACCATTTCCATGGGAATATAAATTACTGATACCTACTTTTCTCTCAGTTCCTGTGCGGTACCCTTATCAGGAAATTGGGTGCTGATTGCTTGGAAAATAGTAAAAATGGGGAACTGCTTGTCACTAGGAGTTTTCTTCTCACTGTCCTTGTTCTCATCTTTCTCTTTCTCTTTATCTTTCGGCTCTTTAGATGGCTCTTTCTGAAATATAAAAAAGTGCTAAGTTTAAGATGATTTTATTGGGGTCAATCTCTGAAGGGGGAGACGGTGAGTATATTTTACACACAGAGATCAGAATTTCATCAACAAATACACTATCGTACTGTGGCATGCAGAAACTCTGAAAACATTCTGAAGACTCCGTAGCGCAGTTGCCAAGGTATTGGTTTCGGCGTCGGGGGTCGTGTGTTCGATTCCCACACGGGACAACTATTTGTGTGATCCACAGATAGTTGTTTCGCATCTGGATGTTTGTCCGCGTGAAATTTATGTTTGTAAAACATCCTTAAAACACAGGATAATGTTATCCTACAGTAAGGGCCAAGTTTAAAAAAAAAAAAAAAACTTTGGCTATTGTATGAATAAGTGGGCTCAAACAGGTGTTATACTGTCGTAATTAGTCTAGTGAGTGAAGTAACTAGGAAGTGATAGTGTTATAGATATCCATTGGCGGATGTAATCATACTGTGGATTTTTATAAGCCAGGTTAAAAATTTTATCATAATTACATGCATTTCACATCATAGTAAAAATACCTCAGAAATGAGGTATTTTCATGTATACATATATACATATTTATTTCATGTTTCTCATTACTCAGTTATCCCAATAGACTAGATCTAAGTGCAATACCAGTAAAAAGACAAAAAAGTAAACACAAAATATCCAAAAGAATTGTGTTGCTTTACAATTGTTGCCGAAAAAACTTACATCTTTATCTTCTTTTGAGTTACGCAACTCTCTTTCCTTCCTCTCTTCTGCAACTTCATCCTTGGTCTGGTAAGTCATCAAAGCGTGTACTAAATCCACAAAGAGCTGGTCATCTATAAATCCTCCCTCTTTATCACCTGTGGAAATAATAAAATTGAAACGTCTTATTATGTCTGTCACATTGTACAGAAATAATAAAAGAAATATTTAAAAGATATGTGAAGTCTGCCAATCCACAGTGGAATTGCATGGTGGACTATGCCAAGATCTATATAGAGGAGGCCTTTGACCAATGGAGCATATATAGGCTATAAGTACACTACATTTGTTCAAATGGTGAAGTTTGCTTGTAATAATTTAAAAAAATTTAAAATGTATTTTGTAAGTAAGAGTAATACAATTTGTCTTTTGTACAAAAGTTTTCATAGATGTCATCATTATTTTTAATGAAGAAATAATTTCTATCTATCTGCAGGCTTTTTTTTCCCCTACTATGGCTCCACTGATACGTCAGTGATTTTGCCAATAACTTAGTACATGGAGATTGACTAAGCTGAGGATATGACAACAATAAACTACTGTATTAAACCACACCCAAACCCGTGGGTTCTGGCTAGCCCACCGGTTCTGCGTCAGATGAAGCTTTAATAGTCTCGGGACTGAAAGCAAAAACATCAGTTAATACAAGATACAAGATTAAGATTAAACCACTTTCAGTTGCACACCTATCTGCAGGCATATGAGATAGAATTAGAAGTGTAATTTTAGCGGTTTAACATCTTGGGGTATAATCTAGATAAATTAAAGTACAACTGTATCATACCATGCACTTTTCCATCGTAATTCTTAATAAGCTCCTCGATGAATGTCCCATCCTGATCCAATACCTCATCACCCATGTAAGGAATGTTGTGAAGTACTGTTTCATCCTCAACCATGAAATTCTTCTGAGTGGGTGCCCATGTGTACATAGTGGGGATGGGGTTCACCGAATTTATAATCCTTATCGGAACCTGTTGGGTTGTAACGACTCCTGAAGCTGGAAATAGTTAAACCAAATAAATTAGTAACATAAAAAAGATATGGAAACATCTAAATATAACTATTTAACATAAAAAAGATATGGAAACATCTAAATATAACTATTTAGATGTTTCCATATCTTTTTTATGCAGCAACATCTTTAGAAGCTTTGACACATATATGTTGTATTGAAATTTTGTCCATGAAAATAGTCAATGGTTTAAATATCATTTTTCCGATTTTTTTCATATACTCATACATAAATGAATATTGCAAATACTTTAAACATTAATTAAAGCTTTAGTGTAAAATTTGTGAAACATGAAGAGGAATAATTTCTTTACAGCAGTTTTACATGTATGAAGTAGTTAACAAAATTTAAACTAAATTATCATCAAATTTTCAATCATAATTTTGATTGTGATTTATTGTTCATACAAAATTTAATTTTAATTTACACATGCAATAATTAGTTAAAATTAATGCTTACAATAAAGTCACACACAAATTAACAGCCTCTAATCAAGTAGTGCTTACAAAGGTGTAAGCTTGTTCTTTCATTATTGCTCATCTTCATTACTTGAAAAGCATCTTAATAGTGTTTTCAAGGCAGTAAAAACTTGAACTTTCCAATAAATGGTTAAAATACTCAACAGTTCGACAGAATTACTGTTTGTTTTGATTTTTTTTTCTTCACTTTTACTCAAGTTACAAATACTAGTACAAGTTACAGAAGGTACTCTTTACAGAAGTTTCCTGCTTAGGGTTTCCATCTCACACATTTTTGTGATAAGATTATTAGTTTTAAACTTAATTGATGAAAGAAAACTTTAAATACCATCTGTGTAGGTGACTTCCGCTCTCTTCATGAGGCTTTCATGACTAGGGGTTGGTGCTGGAGGTGGCCAAAACGGTCTCCGTCCACGTTCTGCGATCTCGGTTTCACGTGCCTCTACTGCCTCTGACATTATACGTAAGTTTCTGGCCCATGCTACCTTCACCTCGTCTGCGCGTTTGAACCTCTACAAGATTTTTTTATAACAATTGAAACAAACTTGTTATTAGTTTGAATTATCATAATATCACCACAATTTTTTCACTATCATCGCTTTCGTCAACCAACTACTACAAAAAAGTAAGAAAAGTTAATATTCAAAGAGGAGTTGATACAAATTCTAAATAATAATAGGGCCAACCTTCATTTGGCGCAACCTCATATATTCCGATTTTACACGTTTCTTCCATTCTGCTGAAACTTTTGATTTACTCATGGAGACAATTACTTCTAATAAAACGCCTTATTTTACTAATAACTTTAAAGTGCAACTAATAATAACAGAAACAATGGATCTAACAACCAACAAAACCCCGGAATAAGAAAGACAATTTAGAGTTTTCGACAATTGATTTAAGTGTTGCTATTTAATATGTAATTGTAAAGAATATCTAAATAACTTTTTTGCTAGAGTAGTTTGCTATAATTCCAAAAAATTACTAAACTATTGATTACAAAAACTAAATTACGAAATGAAATACTTTTCATGAAATCGAGAACCTTATACTTATGTTACGTTTCTTATTCTATATTAATATGTTTATGTATCAAGAGCTGCGCTAAGCGCATTGGGCTCTTAACGGTCGTTGACCCGTTTGATTAATGATTGTAGTTTAATGTCATCTTGAGGCTATACGCTATTTAACGGCCTAAGTGAAACTAAAATATAATATAGCTACAACATTTCTTTATATATATAATTCTTCTGTACGTGTGTATGTCGCTGAACTCGTCTTAAATGGCTAGACCGATTTTAGTAAAATTTTGTATGTATCTTCAGGTCGATTCGAGAATGGTTAAGGTTCACAATTCGGTCCACATTTTTTTTATTTTTATTTATAAGTTGTTTTCGGATTTCAGTCCTGTTTAAAAGACAACGTCTGTCGGGTTCGCTAGTCTATAGTATATGTATATATAATTCTTTTGTACGTGTGTATGTCACTGAACTCCTCCTTAACTTCTGGTCCGGTTTTAATGAAACTTTTTTGGTGTCTTCGCACTAACTATTTGATTCCTCAAACTTATTTAAAAAGTTCGAAATTTTCGGATTTAAGACATGTGCACAGGACAACGTGTGTCCGTTCCGCTAGTATAAAATAAAACTTTAAAAAAAAAACATTTATTCAACTAAGTGAGTGGGAAACTAAGTAAAAATATGCATTAAAAACAACAAACATTTTTAGAACACTCTTACATAAAAAACTGTAACGTAAAGTTCATTTGTAAAGGTAACAAAGCATATGAATGTGTTGAATGAATTTAAAAGAGATAGAACATACTGTTAGAATAAGAGACTTGGAATGCGACGTTGTGGCAACGAATGAAAAAATATCCCTTTATGGCCAACTTATGGTCACTTTCGCCTCGCGTATGTTGTTTCCTACGCACATTAATAACGTTCGCAATATAGCCGCGTTCGTCTTTTGCCGGCTACACAATTTAACTAAGGCTAAAAGTAAAATGCCCTTAAGGTACAAATTATTATTATATAAGACCTGAGTACGACCTATTATGTCCTACGCAAGCATGACCTTCGCCCACACGCACCCTACTCGCTTGTACAAGTTGCAAATAGTACAAAATAAGTTCATCCGCGTGCGCAGTGGCATCAACGCAACGTCAACCTGCATAACGATTGCAGACTCCCGACGATTCGCGAATATTTTAAAGACCTGACCAAACCGTTCTTCGATAGAGCCGAACTTCATCCCAACCCTCTGTTGGTAAGCGCAAATTACCAACCCGACACAAACGCGAACGTTAACAAGCGTCGCCCGCGAAACGTCCCCACCACCGGGGGTCCCGCCGGATTACACTACACCCACAGTTAGTGCAACAACAAACAGGGTCTCGCCCTCGCCTCCGAGCACGGCCAGACCAACACAACGCGTACACAAGGTACACCCGCGTTGAGGGGCGGTTCTCACCGCTCCCAGCCACCGATTAGCTAATTGCACAGTCGACGGCCATTGGGGTTTCGGTCCGAACCGCAACCTCGATGGCCCTTAGATGACACACCATAGTTAAACGCATGCATGACCACATGCGTGGCCCTACCAACAGCGGAGGGCCCAAACCCGTGGGTTCTGGATAGCCCAGCGGTTCTGCGTCAGATGAAGCTTTAATAATCTCGGGACTGAAAGCAAAAACATCAGTCAATACAATACAATACAATACGAATGAAAAAGTCTCTGAATTTATGAATCAGTCAGTTGTAATTTTTGTGTTACAAATTTTGTTTCTATTTCGAGTGATACGTCCTATGGCGCGTTTGGAAAACTTTTGACAGTAAAATTTTTATGATGCGCGCGCACATTTTATGAGAAGGTGGCAAGCGGGTTGGAGGTACATCTAATGTTAAGTGATAACCGCTGCCCATGGACATTTGCAACACCCAGAGGGTTCCAGATACGTTTCCTCCGATAGAGGGGAGGGCAACCGGGCTACAGCCCTGAGGCCTCCACAAAAAAAAAACTGTTTTACTACCAAATTCTCGAAGATCAAATTTTCAAAGCTACATACCCAAACCTTAACCTAAACTTACAAAATTACATTGAGAATGCATTTGGTTTTAAAAAAAATAAAAAAAAACCGCTGAGTTTCTTTCGGTACAATGGCTTTCTTTTCCGAACCGGTGGTAGTATTTTGACTATCAATAAGCGAGTGTAATACTCCTAATGTTGAATAAAGACATTTGATTTTGATTTTGCAACAATTGATATTGTTGAGTGCCCCTACCTCATTTCTGGTGATGCTTGATTATCAATTTAATCTTGGTAACCAATAACAAATTTTTGACATTTACCAATAATTCCAAGTTACTAATATAAACAGTTATTTATTGCATTTAAAGTCTTTACGCTAAAGAAGTATAACTTCTTAGATGCGCATATAAGTATAGATATACATTTTATATCCCAACCTTACAATAGGTAAGGAATCAAGTTCCAGCTAACATTTTACCAATGAATTCCAGTTAGAAAAATAAACTTTTGCATGAATTCTTTTCCTCAAATTAGAGAATATAATAATTTTGTAAAGTGACAATACCACGGTTTAGTAAAATAGTCCGTGAACAATAACTCATTTTACATTACTGTAATGTTAAACGTGTACCAATATTGAGTAAATTTTGAATCTAAAGTAAACTCGCGCTCTGTAAAGATAATATGATTACCTGATTACATATCGTTGTTCTTATATGTATTATATATTCTATGCACATATGTGAGTAACTTGAGTTTTTTATGTAAACAAACGATAAATATATGTCAAAATATTGTATAATATAAATAATAAATAATTAAGAGAAAAATTTGCTAATCTATAATTTCTGCAGAATTTTATACGAAGCACTTCACCTACACTCTATGAATTGGGCTACATTTTCTTTTTCTTACAGTCTATATTGTCTATGTCTAGTGTGAAGCGAATGTGTGCGCTGCCATTTTCTGTTGAATTTTCTTGAGAAAAATACAAATTCACAAACAAAAAAAGGTAAGCATGAATAGACAGGTATTCTATTTTCCTATTTATTTTAAGCTTTTTATGCAACGCATGATTAACGAAGTCATTTCCGCATTATTCGGCCGCGGATTACGTAATTTGTTGTTTCTCGTCACAAAAACGTATTTACGATCCATCAATAACGTTGCACGGAGACGTTTCTCGAGCGGAGAGCGTAGAATTGTTGTCTACACCGAAAAGTTGTTCTGTTTGTAGGTGTGTGCCTACCTACAAACTGCCGCAGGTTATGCGAAGAGGCTCGTATAAGTATGTCCTCGTACGGCGCTGCTGGTGCGTGGGACGGCGGGCCTCCGGGCGCTGAGGCGGAGTACGCCACGCAGCGTGCGCCGCCGCTTGCCGCGCCCATGCCCACCACGGACCCCTGGACTGGCGTCAGCTACAGCAGCTACGGCCAGCCCCACTACGATTACCAGCATTACGGTGCCTCGGGTTACGGTTATAATTACGATTCCGGTTATTATCCTAGATCTGATGGTTATTATAAATACCCAGATTCAAGCAATGCATATCAAGCACCGCAAACCAGCTACGATTATACAAGATCTCGAGAACGCACTCGGTCACCCGTTGAATCTACGGGCGGTGACCGCAGGCAAAGGTCTTACAGATCTAATTCGAGGAGTGTTTCACCTTACAAAAGGAAAGAAAGATCATATTCAAGAAAGCGAGACAGTAGTTATGAGGAAGGAAGTAGAAGGCGAAGCTCACGAAGCAGATCGAAATCCAAACGTACTAAATATTCCTCAAGTGATCATTCGAGTTCCAGATCTAGGTCATACTCTAGGTCCCCATCAAAGAAAAAAACTAAAAAGAGACAAACTTCTTCATCAGATTCTGAGAAATCTTATAGGAAAAAATCAAGCAGGGAGAGAGAACATTCCTTGACACCACCATTAAAAAAATCTAAGTCTCGCAATCGTTCAAGAACACCTGATCCTAAGCGGAATACTAGAAGCAAGTCATCAAGCATTGAAAAAGAAAATTTAAGAATCAAAGAAAAATCTCATTCTAAAAAGGAAAAGGGGCAAAGACAAAGAAAAGAAGTATCAGCAACTCCACCTAGAACCCACAAAAAGTCTGATAAATCACCAATACCTAAAATGAATAAAAGATCTGACCCATCAAAGAGGTATAAGTCCAAGGATAAGAGAACAGAAAATTCACCGAGAAAACCTAGAGATAGTTCTGTGACACCTCCAAAGTGCTATACTAGGAATCGTTCATCTTCCACCTCCCGATCACGGTCATTAACTCCAAAACGTTCAAAACGTATAGACTCAAATAGTCCGATATCAAACCATTCCAGATCTCGTTCTACTTCCACTGTCTCATCAAGGTCTTCAAAACGTTCTAAATCTAAACATCGAACTAGACGTAAATCTAAACGAAGGTCGCATTCAAACAGTCAGTCTAAGCATCGTTCTGATAGTAAGAGTAGGTCTAAGTCTCGTCGACGATCTTCATCCAGAGGAAAAGGGCGTCGCTCTTGCTCCTCCAAATCAAAATCACGATCTAGATCACGCAGTTCCCGATCTCGCAGCCAAAGCGGTACACCAAGTGATGATGAAAGACGTGGACAGTTTACCGTAGCTGATAGGAAACGCTTTTGGAAATTGCATAGAAGCCAGCAGGAAGAAAAAGAAAGGGCTAAATCCCCACCAATAGAGGTGAAGCCACCACCAGGTGCTGTTGAATCCACCACTGTGGATGACATTGAATACGGAGATCCACCTGAAGTTGAGGGTCCTAATTTCGCTGAGCTACTGCCGCCGCCTAATCATGTTACGCAACAGACTGCTTCTACGTCAAAGTCCAAACCCATACCGATACCAATAAGGAATGATGGGAGCTTTTTAGAAATGTTTAAGAAGATGCAAGAGGAGACAAAGAAAACGGAAGCAGTTGAGCAAAAGCCAGTTATTAAAAAACCTGCCTTACCATTCATAGGCAAAAGACGTGGTGGGAGAGTCCTAAAAACTGGTTTGGTGAAAAAGGCTAAGGCCATTGATGAGCAAACTGTTGACAATACTCCGAAGGATGCATGGTCACTTTACATGCAGGAAGTTAAGAAATATAGAGAAACTTCTTGTGAAGAGGAACGAAAAACGAGGCCTCTCGTTAAATGATTCAAGTTAAATTAGTTTTCTTCGTTTCGTGTCCGCTGTATGCGTCATTGTACTTCTTGATAACAGACCTTGCTTTTTTTTTTACTTTAACACATTTATTGTAATCAAATGTTTACACCTTAGGTTATAAATGTTAAACAGGTGTCATTAATAAAGAACAATGAGAATGAGAAATGTTGTTCTTTCGTTGCAGTAAAATGCCAGACATGATCAAATCGCCTGCTGACCTCAAAACCGCCCCTTTCGATGCCCGGTTTCCTAACCAGAACCAGACAAGGTAATGTAGTTATAATTTTAATTAGAGTCCTACAATGGATTTGCCTGCCTTCATACATCACACTGCATACCTGAAGAGGTCACACCCTGCTTGACTATGACTTAATCACAAGAATGGTTTCCAATCATTGTGGTTCTCTTATACAACATTGTCAGTTTACACTGACTTGGGCTCATTTAAATACTTTTGAAAATGTTCAATGAAGACTTGTGTGAAGCGGATATATCATACTTTAGCCTTTTATCTAGTGAGTGAGTTAACTGGGGCTCACTTTTTTGAAGGTTGCAATCCCTAAGGTGTTATTAATCACATATCAGCCACACTGCTGTTGTACCGTCTGTTAACTTATCATCAAAGCCAAAAGAAGGTATACATTTTAATGTCTCCACCATATCAAGCATGTTTGACTAAGAACATATGTGTGTGGTTATTATATAACTTGAAATTATAAAAAAAAAAAAGATTTTGGTTTGATCAAGAGATTTTCACGTTTTTCTCCCTTCTAAAGTTTCTGCAAAGATCACAATTTCTTTCATAAATATTTTTATTGCTTATTTTGTGTAAAGAAATTTTGAAATGGTTTTTCTTTCTGAGTAAAGCTTTTGCAATGGTCACAGTTTAAACCATAAAATTTCCTTCATTATTATGACAATTTTTATAACTTAAATTTTGAGTAGAACTGCATATTACAATAAACAATGCAAATTAGAATTAATTAATAGATATTAATTGTAAAATGATTTAAGCAATAGTTATTTAGTGCAATGTAGCACAGTGTATTTTATATTTTGTCACATATTTTCACTATGTTTATTGTTTTCCGATTATAGTAAATGTTTAATTACATCAGTACCAAATACCAATCACCAGTTTAATGTTTATCACTCTCAACACAGGCATTGTTACCAAAGCTACCTGGACTTCTACCGCTGCCAGAAGGTGCGCGGTGAGAGCTACGAGCCTTGCAATTACTTCAAACGGGTTTACAAGTCTCTGTGCCCCAACGAATGGGTAGACAAGTGGGACACCCAACGTGCCGAGGGTACCTTCCCCGGCAGGATCTAATTATTTACCCTAACATTGGGCAACGGTTAAGTTGCTGCTGCTTATAATTTAATTTCCAAATAGTGTGATAGTGAATTAAATGAATTTTTAATTAAAATGTTTTGTTTTTTCTCTCACTGAATTTTATTTGCACTAAACTTTTACTTATATATAATTTAGATACATATTTTATGTATATATGTTTCAAAGTTACGCCTTCAGCCTATTCTACGCATACGTAGTCGTGGGCAGGAGCTAGTAACTAATAAACATAACTACTTATACAAAATAATTTGCAAGAAAAATAAATTCAATGTGACAATTATGCGATAGAGTAAATAAATAATTTTCTTATTTAATAAGTGCCATACTCTGATCAGGTGTACGAGATTCTAATAAAAATATTTATCTGATTGAAATGATACTTTCGTGTTTACGACCACCTACCTATCCATGGGTCTGAACTGGTAACTCATGCTCTCAGCTCTATTAGAGTAGGGTCATGTATCTAACATTTAAGCAGGAAATTAATACAATCAAGTAAATAAAAACCTACAATTTATCAAATAAGTTTAAGTATGAACTCCGTCCACTCTATAGCAAATGCGTCATTCCGCATTGCGGATTGTCGATGCTGGAATAATATGCGACACGGGGTTCTCTTCAGTTTTACATAATTTATTCACCTTCGATCGTCATTTATATTTATCATGAAGTCTGCTTTATTTATATTTATCATGGCAAGCGATCTGGCGGTTGACCTGATATTAAGTTATATCTTATATCCGCCGCCCATGGCTAATTGTAATACCCGTTGGGTTTCAGATGCGTTGCCACTTTTTAATAAAGTGGGCTGCGGTTACATTACCTCCAAGCGCCTTCCCAAGGATAGACTATCCGATAGAGCAAGAGGAGCGGTCATCTAGTGGCCAGGTAGGAAGAGGCGATAAAAATCAAATGCAAAAAGCAATTTGCAAATAGAATAAAATTTTGATTGCGCCTTTTGACAGTCTGGTTTACTGTCTGTTTTAGTTTACTGGGATACAGATTTTATCATTTAGCGACTGATTGAAAATTACAACAAATACCAATTTAATTAAGTATAGGTATTAGTTGGAGCGTTCTACAATTCTACAAAAAATAAATTAAATATCGGTAATTTTAAGTACTAGTAATATTTTTGAATTCAAATACCTTCATCATATTGCGAAACGATTCTAATTTGTTTCAAAACTAAATAGGTTGTCATAGTTAATTTTTATCTCAGCGATTTCGAATAGCAATTTCGCAAGCTGTTTGTTTCTAGTCGGTTCAGAAAGGCGTTTAAGAAAAAAGGAAAATTCATTTATTAACGTATTATTTTTTTATTATAAGCTGTATGTTAGAATTCATAATAGTTAAAAAAAAGGCAAAAGAAACGAACGTAAAAAAAACAATTACATTAAATTGTATTTAATACATAATATCATGAAATTAAATAGGTCCAGGGAAAGCGCCTTTGCTTCTTTGTTCGTCCCACTGACTTATCCAAAAGTTGGGGCAGATGGTTTCAAAATAGCGTTTGAAGATTGTACAGTCATCAACATCGCCAAGTAAACGTTTGCATTTGTAGTAATCGCAATAGTTGTCATAACACGCTCTGAAAAAGAAAGTTGTGAATGAACTACGGAGGAAGAATTTTCTTTGTGAAATAAAATACCCGAGACTATATTATGCTATTTAAATATACTCGAGCAACCTTAGTTCAATTCTCTGTGCCGGCACCGATGAAATTGTTACAATTTTCAGTGCTGTCATCGTACTCAGCGGTGAAGTCAAACATCGTGAGGAAATCTACATATTTACGAAACAATAACAAAAAAAATATTTAGAAGATATGTGAAGTCTGCCAATCCGCAGTGGGGTTGAGTGGTTATATACAAAAGGAGGCTTTTGCCCACTGGGACACTCATAAGCTGCTGCCCGCGACTATGTCCGCGTAGAATAGGCTGAGAGCGTAAAATTCAGCCAGGACAGATATACATAAAAATATTTATATAAATTATAGCCTATGTCTTATTCTGATGTATAAGCTATATTATTGTAAAGTTTCATTAAAATCTATTCAGTAGTTTTTGCATGAAAGAGTAAAAGTCATCCATCCATAAGTAGACGTAGCACCTCTACGTTGTTAGTTGACAAATAAGAAAAATCCATATAACATACCTTGTTTGATTTTGATTTGGATATCTTGGGTCCATTCGAAGTGTCCGAAATTCTTGGTCGCACATTATATATGCTTTATTTTAACTTTTTATATGAATATCAAACAATATGCAAATATGTCCGAAAAGTGGCACGTCAAAGCCTACATTTATTTTTGTATGCAGCCAGATAACTTTACTTTCACTCTCCTATTAAATACTATTTTGAAAAATAACGAGGAAAATAAAATTGCATATTTTTTTACTTTTTTACGTTTAATAATATAAAAGGAGTAAAACTAAATAATCGAAGTATTTTAATGTAAATTCATAGATGCTTTCATTGTAATTGTAAGTTTGTAGATAAATGAACAAAATCTTAAAGCGCTAAGGGATTCGAACCTGCGTATTCTGCCTTAATAATGTAGACATCATGAACTCTTAGGAATGTCTGGTAATTAAAAAAAAATGGAAATAGGTCTGATGTGTATGCTGTTTGACTGAGTAAATCTTGTATTTTTAAAACGGCCCGCTGTGAGGCGTGTAGATGGAGTTGTGGTGAAGGTGTAAACTAGAATAAAATTTGAATTGAATTGAAAAGTTTCAGTTGTTGCGGTCCAGGGTTAAAATGAAAAAATTGTTGCACCAAGTCTGAAAAAGTTGTCCGGCCAATCCACCATGCACTCTCAAGCACCTTCCTTTGACTCAATTTGAGCTTGCGACAAAGTGTCCTACTTTCGTTGTGTATTTTCTTTAATGTGAGAAGGTTGCAAGCGAGCTAGCTGTTCACTTGATATTAAATGAGAACCACCGCGAATCGACAGTGGCAACACCCGTAGAGTTGTAGACGCGTTGCCACCTTTTAATAAAGTAGGCCCCGGCTAACTCATTCAGCTGATGAAACGTAGAAGTATAACTTCCTCTTCACGCTGGTCTTCTGTGAGGTGGTGGTACTAACCCGGACGGACCTGCCCATTCGTGCAACAGCGAACACGGTTGCGTGGCCTAGAATAATAAATGTCGGGATTCACCAATCCCGACATTTATTTTTGCAACATTTTGTAGCATTTATTCCATTCAATTAATCTCTGTTACTAAAGTTTATGCAGGAATTAAACTATAAAGAATCACAATTTTATCACGTTACAACTGGGATCAATCTGCTCTCGGATAGATCGTGAAAGTATAGTATCTTGACTGTGAAAACTTATCCCCTATGCGATGAATTTCACTCCCCGAGAGTCACTAAGGAAGCGTTAGGTCGGAGTGCGTAATGCTTTCAACCGAAGAATAAGTAGATACCTAATTATAAGAAATGTTGAATTTGAAATAATTAAAAAAAAATTACCGTTCTACACTATCTTCAAATCATAACCATTGTCATAATTGATGGTACAAAAAAGTATGGCCAAATTAAATTTGTGGGCTTTATGAAGAACTTCGAAAATCTAGTGTTATTGTAACTTTTTTTTTTAATGGAACCTGTATAATCATCCTGTAATTGTAATTTTTTTATGTTTTTTACGACGACTGTATCAAACTAGAATTATTGTAACCCTGTATCTACTTTCTGCCTGGTTCGCATATTCGAATTGTAACGCATGTATTTCTTTTCAATTATATGGAAAAATAAAATCAAAGCCGTGATAGCTCAGTGCCCGTTGTGAGTTCGAATCCCGGTGTCGGCACCAATGAAACTGTTAATTTTAAGTGCTGACTTATCAGCGATGATGGAGACATCGTGAGGAACACGCGTATTTTCGCACGCACAACAACCTGTATATTTTTGAAATAATTACGTACAAAAAAATATAGATTTTGCAAATATTTTAAGTCTCCCAATCTGCAATGGGGTCGAGTGGTGGACATTACTTTACTTATATGGTAAAAAGTATATTTATACATATAAAGCATGTCTGTTAAGTAAAAAAGTAAGTAGGTTTAATGAGCTCAGAATAATTACTTTATATATGGCAAAACTATCGTATTCAAAGTTTAAAACTATCATTGACAGCCTTTGTTTTTTTTATAAAATGATATAAACCGCTCGAGTGTAGCGTTGAATCAGTTGCGATTATCTCTTCATTTCATTATTGTATGGAAATATATGTAGGTAAAGAAATTTATTATTGCGTTTTTTTCTTAAAGTCCCGACGTTTCTAGTGTCCTTTAATATCGCCCGTAACGGAACGAACTGACTGTAGAGTTCGCGTAAATAGAAGACATTATCTTGCTATAATTACTTATAATTTAGATTGTGCAATCACTTTCAAGTTCAATTGAAAACACAACATGTTCCGACATGAAATGCACGTTATCAGTAATAAAATAGAGCTATTTTATACTTGGATTAACGTCCAACAAAAAACTTAAAAAACACTTTGTCACCATCTTATCAACCAAGGTGGCAGCCTGGTACCGTTTTGTTAGACCTCTAGTCTCTGTGTAAGACCTTATAGTGTCTCCTAAATAGAGAAAATCGCCGATGGGGTTTTCGCAGATAGAAATACTTTATAATACTGTTTTATTCTCCATAGATATAGTAGCCTATAAAGATCGCACAGACAAAAAAAAAAACAACCCACTGATTGGCATGAACGGTACCAAGTCGTTCTGTAGGGAAAAACTGATCACTATTAATTAATAATATTATGAGTATAGTTCCAAAGTATTGATTTATTTGCGTTTGAGCCACAGGAATAATATTATTGGTCATTTTGGCTGACACATTTGCGAATTATAATTTTGTTCATCAGTTGACTTGTATTTTCTCCTATCCTCGATTTAATATGCGGATAAGATTTATCAAAATAACTTCCTAGCACTCGTCTATAATAAACAAAGATATTAGCTTCAGCCTTAAGTATATTTCTGTGAAACATTTATGTGAGAAGGTGAATAGAGAGCTGGCGGTTCAACTGATACCTGTAAACCGCCGCCCATTGACATTTGCAACACCTGTAAGGTTAGATGCATTGCCGCCTTTTAATTAAGCGGCCACGTCACTCACCAGACAAAACACGGAAATATACCTAATAGTTCCACTTCACGCCGGTATTCTGTGACGTCGTGGTACTACCCGGACGGACCTGGCGATTCGTGCAATAGCGAAGACTGTTGCGTGACCCTGCTACAGTTAAGTTAGTATACAGGGAGGTTCAGACTCGGTAGTATAATCGTATATTGAAACAAAAAACAATTTTTTTTCCAAAAAAAATGCCATTCTATTCCCTAAAAAACAGAACAAAAAACAGAAAAAAAAATGGATACACTTAGAAAAGCCACCCTGTATATATATACAACGTAAGGTTAAATTTAATTGCGAGAGTGTGCGTTTACGGTCGGTCAGTCTACTTGAGATTTATTTACGAGAGGCTTAAAATAATCGGATCACTGTGTGTAGGAAATTTTATAAGAAAATATCTTTAAAATAATCAATATGGGTATTATTTTCAAGCTTTCTTTAGAATGTTTATCTAAATGCCTCGAATCGAAACCATCGGCCATTGCAAAATGCTATACGTGGTTGTTAATCTTTAAGTAGAGCAATCACAGTGAACGCGTAGTAACGATACATAACGATAAATGTTCGAAGCCCATTGGTGAAAACACGCTTTAGAAAGCACAATAATCACATACTTTAAAGATATTAATACCAAATACGTGATATAAATGCGGCTCTTGTAGATTACGATAGTACTGGCGATACTAGGGTATTCCGACGTCAGTCAATCTTATCTGATACGTGTATTTATATATATATATATATATATATTCTCTCTTTGTTATTGCAGGCAATTGAAATGCATTAAATACGAACTCGTTTAGTTGTAAACTTTAATGGAACAGATAAGACATAATTATATTTTTATGTGCAATTTCTTACGCACATAAAAAATAGTTCTCTCCGTACGGATTTCGATATCATTCATTATCCACGTTTTCTTTATGTGATATTTGGCAAATGGCAGATCATCAAACAAACTTTCTTCCGCAATTTAATCCCTAGCACGTAATTTTTTTACTAACGAGAAACAAAACCGACTTCAAATATCTCCCTCTGTATTCATTTTAAAGTTGATTTTCGGGAGTTTCCTAAGTATCTCCGGATCCCAAGATCCAATGCCAATGAAATCAACATGGGACCGCATAGGAAACACCAGCTTTCAAATTAAAAAAAGAATCATCAAAATCGGTTCAATCAGCCAAAAGTTCTACAGATAACAAACATAAAAAAATACAGTCGAATTGAGAACCTCCTTCTTTTTGAAGTCGGTTAAAAATTGCAGTACCTACGGAACGTTCTAAAAAAACAATTTGCAACTGGTTTTGATTTGATTTGTCCAATATGAGAAACAGGTCAACAACACTAACCTATTACGGTCAATGTCAACCTTGATGTAAATAATAAGCTTAATTTTTGCAGTAAAATCGAACCATTGATAATAATACATATAAGTAAATAAGAAAGCAAGGTATTATTATTATTATTAAAGAAATCAAGGTATTATTCTCGGTCCCACCTTTTTTTACATAATCATAATATTACTATATTATTTTACGTAATAATTAAGTAATACCTGGAGGGCTCGGGGGAGGTTTTCAGCTTCAGGGAGGAGGGACAAAAGTGACCCGCCGTTTTCTACATGGATGACCTCAAATTATTCGCCTCCAATCGCTCCCATTTGATGGAATTGCTTAAAGTCACTTGTGATTTCAGCAATTCTATCAAAATGGAGCTTGGGACGGATAAGTGTGCGGTCCTCCATGTCGAAAGGGGTAAGGTCACTAACACGGAGATTAATAACATAGATTTATCTATGCCCGTTAACATAAGGACCCTCTCTGAGGCTGAAACATACCGATACCTGGGTATGTCACAAAACATTTGTATCGATGAAGCTGGCATGAAACAGTCAGTTCGTGACGTGTTTTTTGCACGCCTGACAAAGGTGTTTAACAGCCATTTGTCAGGCGTGAACAAGGCGCGCGCATTTAACGGCTGGGTCATGCCAGTCCTCATGTATACCTTTGGCATACTCATGTGGACTCAAACTGAGCTCAACGCCCTGGACTGAAAAGTCCGCACAACTTTGACGTCCATGCACAATTGCGCGGTGTGCAGCCTCCGCAACTACTTCCTGGCGAGATCGGATGAGTCAATCTACACGGGCGTCATTAGTTGTGATAAAGGACTTACCCCTCTATTCTTAGCCAACGAGCAATGGCAGGACCCGGGAGTACTGAACGTTTCCGACCGGGAGGCCGTATGGAAGGAGAAAGAGCTCCACGGGAGGTTCCACAAGGCTCTCCATGAGCCTTTTGTAGACACTGTTGCCTCCCTTAAATGTTTGGGGAAACCGAAGGTTTTGTGTGTGCGATACAGGATCAGGTTATTAAGACGAACAACTATCGGAGATACATCCTAAGGGATGGCACCGTCGACATCTGTCGAGCTTGTCGCCGTCCCGGGGAGTCGCTTCGGCATGTTATCTCCGTTTGTTCCATGCTTTCTAGCTCTGAGTATCTGCATAGACACAACCTAGTAGCCAGAATCCTACACCAGGAGCCCTCTCTGAAATACGGTCTCGCAGATCGGAAACTGCCGTACTACAAGTACTATCCGGAGGCCGTGCTTGAAAATGACCGCGCCAGGCTCTATTGGGACCGGCCCATCATCACGGACAGGACAGTTCTAGCGAACAAACCTGATATCGTGTAGACCGGGCACAGTCACGGGTATTTTTGGTTGACGTTACCATTCCGTATGACGAGAACCTCGTGAAAGACATGTTTAACAAATTTCTGCGATGCCATGCTTTAGGAAGGAATTCTTGAATTTTTTCATCACCTCATGACCCTCTGTCCAACTAGATGTGACAGGTGATATATACAAAATAACTTTTTCCACTAATTATAGTCTAACTGTTGAAGATGCATCATTGCACTGCCAATCCTGCTATTGGTTGTCAGCTAAGGATAGAGGTCTTATTAATATTATTAATTAAAAATAAAACCACATGGTGCGTAGATATGTATTTTGGAGATAAGAATGACATGTACGTATATCAAAATATATATACATTCAATAACAATAAAACAATACATACATTCTTCCCTTTTCAATTGCCTATACTTTTTCAATGTTACAATCAGAAGTTTGCACAAATTCAATTCATATAATTTTATAATATTTATGTATTTTCTTGTATGTTCCATCTTTTTGAAATAACTAATTCCCTATCAACAACAAAACAGTATATTTTACACCAATTTCATAAATGATTTCATGACTATGCTTTTAAACTTATAAATATAATTTCAGTCACTATCATGTTTGTAGTGAGAAATTCTCATGAATTTCATAGGCTAAGAATCATGATTTCTATTAAGTTAATTATCATGGATAGATGCAAAGCAGAGTACTTCCAAGTCTTCTGAAATTATATAACTACAAGTCTTTCTGCAGCAAACAAACATGCAATAATGTTTACATCTATTTATTCATTCATTGAATATGTATGAAAGTTCACGCAGAATTCTCTCTCAAAAATATCTATAGTTTACCATAGATATATAATACAAATGTAGGTAGGCACAAAATATACAGTGTGTCGTTACAACCGTGACAATAAATGAACACACATATAGAGGATAACTCTTTAAAATTGTGTTAAACATTTACTATCTTTAAACATCAATATTTACAGAGTTATTAAATTTTCCAAAACAAAAAATTTTAGAACACTCTTACATATAAAACTGTAACGAAAAGTTCATTTGTAAAGGTCACAAAGCATATGAATGGGTTGAATGAATTTAAAAGATACAAAACATACTGTTAGGCTTGTAATGCGACGCTGTGGCAACAAATGAAAAAGTCTCTGAATGTATGAATCAGTCAGTTGTAGTTGTAAAGGATGTTACAAATTTTGTTTCTTTTTTACTTAATTAATTTGTTTGAAAAAAATATTTTTTTGTTATGCATTTTTTTAATATTTATATTTTTTACGATCATTGGCAAGTAGCATTAGATGTGTGTTCAATTATTGTCATGGTTGTTACGACACGCTTTATATTATAATTTACCACAAATTGATGTTAGGTCAAATATGATCTTATGATATAAAAATAATATTGATGACTGCACAGATCAGAAATTAAAGTTTAAAATAACATAATACATACAAGCTTAATTGCTATTTTTAACTAGTTATTTCTCTATCACCATTATTAAACCACAACTTTCCTGTTCAATGTTCCAAGGATCTAATAATTCCTAACACTAATGGTCATTATCAAAGTTCTTGCTTGAGACACTGACCGTAGCGTATTGTTGCTGTCGATGTAAAATACCTAGACATTGGAGAAGACACTGCATGCTAGCTGCTGATGTTGCCTGAAAAATAGAATAAAACTTTCAGGTACTTATGTACATTCTCTTATGATTTGTCTTTCTTATTTTTCGTAAACATATGTTTTACATATATTTAATATTTGTGTTAATGCATTTTATAAAGTATTATTGTTCAAAAATTCCAATGCATTTATTCATCAGTTAAAATGTAAACCTACGTAAGTCTAGTTTTGTATTTATAATAATAATGCCATTTAAAACATTACATATAGGTGTGTTTTGCACAATATTACTTTGTTGAGAATAAGTTAGGTTAAATTGTCATTTATAAAAATGCAAAGTTTAGCCAATTGGTTGGTAGTTTAGATAAGTTAAAAGCATATCTTCGAAATATTTTATTTTGTTATTATTTCGAAATATGCACATATTTTTCCTTCACCACTGAGCATGTGACATGTCAGTACTTAAAATTAACAATTTCATTGGTGCCGAATTGGGGATCAAACTCAGGTTGCTGAAGTATATTGAAATGAAGGCGAGACAGAACATTGAGCTATCATGGCTTGTAACTAGAATAGACTCACCTTTAAAAGCAAAAGATCCGGATCAGTATGAGGAAATGGTGAATCTGATGACTCAATACATCTGGCCAATGCAGCATCACTGTTAAGAAAATATTTACATTTAAAAAGCTTGATCACTTGTATAATACTAATAGTAGTGATGATCTCAATATATGCACAAAATACAAAAATTTGCAGAAATATGGACAAAAATTTAAGTGAACTTTAATATTTTCCATGTATGTTTCTTGGCTCTAGTAAAAATTATTCCCTAATTAGTCACTACAAAGAAGCAAACAGAAAAAAAGGATATGTGTACCACTTTTTTAAACAGAAACTAAATGTTTTGATTAATTTGTGACCCTTTCCTTGGACCAATAAACAAGTACTAAAAAGATCAAGGATGCAAAATATTAAACATAAATATTTGAAATAATTATACCTAATTTCCGTAGCTTGCAACTGTTGCCTGGCCGAGGCCATTGCATCATGCACAGCTAACTGCTCACGTGGCTGCAGAGGAGGATTTGCACCCATAGCCTTTAACAATTGTGAATATCAGAGATTGAGCTATGAGGCTATGATCCAAATTTGGATTTGTAAGATAGTAAATGGTAACTATATTATAAAAAAACATGAGACGCATGTTGTACATAAGTTATTGTAAGAATTTATCACACACAAGATATAAATTTGTTCAAACCGAACAAAGCAATCACCACTTTTTCCATTTATAAGCATTTTAGTTGTTGTTTGAGAACACAATACTCACTTTTGTGTGTATTTCAGCTATAGCTCTTAGTCCGTTAACCCACTCTTGACGAGCCCGTGCATCGGTCGCTCTTATTTTGAGCATGTCTCCAGATGCACAGTTAATCGTGAAAGTGCGCGAGTCTTCATCGCTGGGACATATAACTGCTGCTGCTAAATGTGCCTAGAAGAGGAAAGACAGAAAATGTGACTGCCATATTTTTATACTGTTTAAAAATTACTTAACGGTATTAGATTGTGTATTATGACGTTAACTCTATTACCTCTCCACGTGCCGGTTGACCCGGCTGAATCGTATCACCTGGTCCATCAAATAGATAGTAAGAGAGAACGCCAGTTTCCGGATCAACTGCAAACCACCTTTGCTGCCATCCTTTAACGACATTGGTATATTTATAAAGCTGACCGGATAGAGGCCTGTGAGATCCTAATCCTGCCGTTTTAATCATTTTGACTAAAATTTAACTCATAATTCTATTTACTAAAAAAAAATTAATAACACAATTTGACAAGCAGTCGCGACATATAACATATTGATTGCATTGCCATATGATTATTAATTTAACGGTTTTAAATGAGGTGTAGTATATTGTCCAAGTTTATAAATATCAATTTTATTTTTTAAAAGATGTGTAATAAATAAAACAATATAATTAACAATAAAAATATAATATTTATATTTTTTTAATTAAAAAAAATTTCGTTGTAAACATTCCAAACATAAGGGGATTCCCTTCCGATCCGACCTAACCTAAATAAAACCGGCCAAGTGCGAGTTGGCCCGTGGAGTTCCCACACGAAGGGTTCCGTACCATTATCTATAAAAACTGCAAAATACATGTATGTTATATGGGAACCCGGCTTAAATATTTTATATATGACGGACAGACAGACTGTCACTTGATACGCCCATTTGTTTTTAACAAGAAAAAAAATAACGCAAAGATTAGTTTTAGTATTTTCCACATGAATGGAATTGAATAATGCAGTGAAGGATATTGGACAGAAAATGTTGGTCTTATATAGTGTTTAATCAAAAATGGTACGAAATTTGTCTTGACTTCTTGATTTTACGCGAATATTATACATATTAAATGAAAGTAGTTTACGGATTTTATCGCGCTTTTATTTTGTTTCGAAGTTCCCGACGTTTCGAACCCGTTCCTGTATTCATTGTCACGGGACAGACTGTACTCTGTGATTTCTTTAGACGACTACGATGTATAAACGATATTTTACCGTACCAAAAATAAAATATAAAACATAGTATTTCTATAATGTACGATACATCTTCTTGCCGTAATTTCCCAGAAAGTTGTCATAGACACTTGTAATGGAGATAACCCGCGAATGGAAAATTTTTTTGTAGGGTTTTTATCTGTAGGGCTTGCAAATGCGTTGTCACCTTTAAATAAAGTGGGCTCCGGCTACTTTATTTAAAGTTGGCATCTGGTAATTACCCAGACGGACATGCCAAATCCTGCAACAGTGAAGACTATTGCATGGCCCTAACACTATAATGGATGATATAAAATTTTAGTTACTATTAACGCTTCCTTTAAAGCCAAAAAAAATACATTGGTCAAGGACAGTAGAGAGTGATATTATATACATACAATTAAATGAATGACATTATATACATTTCGCTGCTAATATAATTATGTTGTTGCAGAAACTGCTAGAGATCACATAGAAACTACTTCCATTTACATTTAATGTAGCCGCACTAATTACAACTACAACAGCTTCTTAAAATGATAAACCAGTAATATTTTCCGACAAAAGAAAAGTTGCCGATGTATTTTGCATTTTTAAACAAATCATAAATGGGAAAATTGTAAATACAAAATAAAAACGTTTCATATTCTGCTATCTGGGATGTATAAAATAAGCTTTAATAAAGTGTCCATGGAAACTAGCATTCTATAGACTACTACGGTGTATTATTGTTGCTGTACAAATGCAATAGTAACACTTGCTTTTTAATGTTAGAAAGTGGTAAACGAGGTTCACCTGATGTTAAGTGATATCCGCCGCCTATGGACATTTGCAACACCCGTAGGGTTGCAGATGCGTTGCCATGTTTCCTAAAGTGAGCCCCGGCTGCCTTACTCACCAGACGAAACGCAGAGGTGTAACACTTCTACTTCAAGTCGGTTCTCTGTGAGGTCGTGGTACTAATTCGGACGGACCTGCCTATTTGTGCAACAGCGAATACTGTTGCGTAGCCCTAACACAGCATGCTATAATGGATGATATTTTTGTAGAATGTGTCTGATTTGCTGGTAAATAAAAAATATCTTTTGTTCCCAATGTGTGTGTGTGATCTCATATCATGTACAGACAGAACGCAATATAACTTCGGTTTATTAGTATATTTCAAATTATTTACCTAATTTGTTACTTTGAAACTGAACTCAAAAGAACATAGATTAGCAAGTACATGTACAAAATATGTCGTAGGCAGTCAAGTCATCGTTACTCTACAGCTCGGTTTTCCTTTTTTAACCGAATTCAAAAACGGAGGAATTCTCAATTCGACTATATTCTTTTTACCCCTGAACTTTCGACTGCGTGAACCGATTTTGATGATTCTGTTTTTATTTGAAAGATGGTGCTTCCCATGTCGTCCCATATTAATTACTTTGGTATTAGATCTTAGGCTCTGGAGATACGTAGGGAACTCCTGAAAATCAATTACAAAATGAATACAAAGCGAGATATTTGAAGTCGGTTTTGTTTTTCGTTAATGAAAAAAATGACTTGTTCTATCTATTAATATAATATGTAACACCCAAACCCGTGGGTTCTGGCTAGCCCACCGGTTCTGCGTCAGATGAAGCTTTAATAGTCTCGGGACTGAAAGCAAAAACATCAGTTTATACAAGAATATGTAACTTTGTTTTATCTATTTCTATGTTTATGTTAAACTAGCAACCGCTCTACCAAAGCAAATAGGACGATTCTCCTTTTCCAAAGGTCGATCGATGTGCAATTTGCTTTAACTTATAATACTGTCTTAAGTGGTGATCACCGCTAACGAAACCTACAATTCATGTGAGGCTGTAATTTTTTTTTTTTTTTGGCTGGATGAGCCACTGTTGGCCTTAGGGGCCTTCACAGATCCGACGGACTTGAGGTGGCCGGGCGCTCGAGGCGCCTAGCCTGAACCTCGCGTATTTACTATTACGCGTTATGGTGACTAAGCTCGAGGGCTCCCGAAGGAACCTCGGCTCGGGCCGTCACGCTATTTAATTCACCGGTTTGGGAGGCCGCCTAGCTTTTAGGGCGCTTTGGCGGGGGCTCCATGGAGTGATCTGGCTCAAGGGTCCCCGAGAGGGGACCTCGGCTTGGGCTGTCACTCAGCACGCGTTTAGCATTCCGATTCGAGGGTGCCCGAGAGGGCCGGACCTCGGCTCGATCGGTAGCTGTTATCTGACTGGGATGTGAGGCTGTAAATGCACTGACAGCCTTTTATAAAAGTGAGCCAAAGTTACAATACTTTCACCACGTCAGTATGCTTGTGTGTATGTTGTTCCGGAAGTTCCCTTTTTTCCTTCTCTCTTCCCTTTATGCGTATGTGTGTCATACGTGTAATAGAACACAGGTAATTAAAATTATGGGTAAATTGTTGACCAAAAAGTACAACAATTCAGTATTAAGAAAACCATTTCAGATATATAAAAGTACTCTTTGAAGAAAACTGTTGAGTGTTGAAGAACTACTTTAGAAGAAGAGAGACTAGAAGATGTTTCATATTCTTTACTGTGGAAGGGCTCTGCCGAGCTAATAAAGCTGATGTTAATTTATTTTTAACAACACTTGACTCTTTAAATGTAATTAAAACTTTTTAGCCTAGAACAAAGTCTTGGCCTCGCGGGGCATAAATCATTTTAATTCTGATTTTTATGCCAAAAGATAGTAATATGACGGAAATGGTTAGGCCTTTAATTTTATGCATATTGCAGCACTGAATATGACCGTTCGTAATTTCGTACTTGTTGTACCTAACTTGTAAATTTTTATAGCCAAGGTTAAAAAAATTGGTTTGACTTTGAAGTTTTTGAAATTTGAAGTGATGCTATAAAATTATGCGTATAAAACTGATAGAGATAAATCGAAAAAACAAATTTCTTCTTAATTTCAGCAATCAAATTCATATGGGATACGTGTGATATATTTTCCTGTTTTTAGGAATTGCCTCATTGGTTGCACTCAACATGTTTAAATTAGTACGAATTGATGACGAATATCATAGCGAAATAGTATTGAAAGATGGAAAGCAAGTTATAGGTCGTGACCAAATGTTCGAGGTATGTATACTGCAAATTAGTAAATAGTTTAATGAAAGAAATAAATATTTTGGTTTTGTTAAAAGGATGTCCAAATAATAAAGTAAGTTATGTGCTATTTTGATGATTTCATCACTTCGATTCACATTTTACTGTTGCGAACATTATTAGTTAATAAAAAAAAAATTATATGAAACAAGAAATAAATATTACTGATACCTTAAATATTAAAAGTACAATATTTTTCATAATTGATGCAAGTATGGTTACCCTGCTCAACCAGTCCTATAAATATAAATTATCATTATCAAGTTAGGCAATATTGCTCTGTGCAGTGTGATGACAAACGGATCTCCAGGCGTCATGCAGAACTAGAGGCCATGGTTGATTCTGTCTGTATTAAAGCAGTAAGTGGATGTTCTTAATTAATATATTTAAAAAATACTAGCAATTTGTTTTTAGTCCATACCATGATATTTGATAGTCTAAGTATATAAAATTTAAAATAAAATAGTACTAAATGCGAGCTGTAGAACAGTTTATATATGTAATTTATGATAGTTGTGGTCTTGTATAAGATATAATTATAATGCTTGTATAAAAGTTTAGTTCTTATTACTTCTGAGTGTATCATATTATTTAACTCCATATAAATGACCTTAAAATTATTTATATCATTGAAACTGAGTTTAATTTACTATCAGCTAAGTCTATTGCCACAAAAGAACTCTAATTAAAAACAATTAGCATCTTGGCACTACAACCTGTAATAATCACTTTCCGAATATTACGACTACAACAATGCTAATAACTCAAATTATATTCAAAACTGATATTTGCTTGCACATAGGCTACTTAATACTTTAGTTCCCTCTATTTAAATATGAAGTCGGTAATTAATGAAAAAATATTATAAAAAACTTAAAAATTTGTCTGTTTAAAATCATTATTACTAAGCTTGCCCTTTATAAATAATCTCAATACAATGAATATAAATTCTAGTTGCCATTTCTAACTTGCCTGCATTTAATGGGATTAAAGCCAACAAAAGCTTTCCTCGAGTAGTAATACATTAGTATCATGCTTCAGTATGATGCAAAAAGTTCCCGTTATCAACTGTTGAAGTGTTTGTGTTGTGATAACTATATCTCTTAGATATAATATCTAAAAAGAACATGCGTGCCACACCACTATCAGAAGTTCAAATATGTTGCATTGGAATAACATCATTCAGTATTGCAATAGCCTTTAGCTGGGAATATTCTACTGAGCATATCCTTATCATTCATAATATACATACCAATAATTTATTACAATAACATTGGGCTTGTCTGTGTGAGTAATTTATTTATTGATGATAAAAACAGCACATTGCGGCATTTGTCGCTGTGGTGCCTCCCGTTTTGCTTTAATATGAGAATCGCACGAACTTTTTGCCAATTAAGATATAAATTTTATTGGCTGTCCTATTAAGGTCACCTATTAGAGGAGATTAGTATTATTTACAACCGACTTCAAAAAAGGATGAGGTTCTCAATCCGACTGTATTTTTCTCGTTTTGTTTATTTTATTTTACAATTTTAGGGAAACTAACAGCTAGCACATTATGCTTTTTATGTTTGTTTCATCAGAACTTTCGACTGAGTACGATTTTGATGATTCTTTTTTTATTTGAAAGCTGGTGCTTCTTATGTGGTCCCATATTAGTTTCATTGGTATTGGATCTTGGGCTTCAGAGATAATAATAATAATCATTTATTCCTCACCATAATCAACAACAAGTGGCTATAAACTTAAGATAAATTATAAAATACGATACAAAAATACATGAAGATATACAAGAATAGATTATGTGTCGTGTCTCAAGTAATCATACTTAGGGAACTCTGAAAATCAATTATAAGATGAATACATAGTGAGTTTTGAACGAATACAAAGTGATATTTGAAGTAGGTTTTGTTTTTCGTTAATAAAATTATGGATTTGTTTTAACACAAATGAACTCTTGTTGAGCGTTTTAGTAGAGTGAAATTAACCTGCGTTATTTCCTCTTGTACACCAGTTAAATTGGCCTTGGGCAAAACCGACGCCGTTTTGGTTTAATATTCATTATAATTACATATACTTTGTACTTATTTACGTTAATTCTGTTTTTTTTTTTTAATAAATTTTTCACCAACACACCTGATGCCCAAATTGCAAATTACCTTTTAATTGTACTACAAAAAAAACTTACTCAGTAGAAATAGGAAAAACGTTTATAGGCTTTGAACCAGAGATCTTAGGTCGTTAGTCCGATGTCTACTCCGCTGCGCCAACATAACGCAATCGTATCTGATATTGTTATACAAATATAATATCCGTGTTGATCTTAGATAAGGTTAGACTAGGGCGAGGGGCAGAGGCTTTTTATCTTGGGTGTGTAGTCTTAGGGAATTTGTCCGCTTCTCTCAGTCTACGACGACTGTGACATGTTATTTTTTTAATAATTATATTTATTGTTTTTAATAAAAATAGAACGGTTATTTATTTATTCCATTCAGTCGGTTTCGTAGCGTAGATAGACCTTTTTGTCTCTTTGACTTAAACTAATATTATTATTCCTCAAATTGGTTTCTTTGCACTTGAAAGTTAATTTGATACATTTATTTTTACAACAGTTACATACAAATCCATGTTTTTTCGTAAAACACAACATGGCGGTCGCACAAATACTAAAGCAGAACACAGCGATAAATGGGTGTCACGGCGACAAAACTTGGCTTTCTACCAAACAACCAATGGTACCAAATTCAAAATGTGAATTCAGAGGCCTTCAACCCAATCGAAATAAGTGAAATCACACCGTTGAAGACTTTAATACAGCAGATTCTGGCATCCAGTAAAGAAGATACCGTGAAAGAGGAATGCAAAGAACTCACATCAGCGGATAACTCCACAGATCAGGATAAAGAAATTGCAGAAAGTCTAACAGACAGACAAACAGAAGCGCCAGATTCCCCATCGTTATCATGTAAGTGAAACGATTTTGTATTAGATTTTTGTAAACTATTTTATATACTATTTTGGAAAACTAATGTAAAAATAATTTATAAATGAAATTTCTAGCAACATATTGAATTCAACAATAACTAAAAGATTTAACTAATTATAAAACAGCCAAACGGGGAGCAAAAAAAATTAGCTAATAAAATAAAATAATATAGAGAGAAATGCAATATGTTTGCAAAGCATGTTTTTTTTAAATATTTTGCAAACATATTTTTTAAACCAAAACACTTGACAAACCGAAACAATATTACCAGCAAAGGACAATGTCGACGAGCTGACACAGGAATACCAGCCCTGCAAACCGACCGTACAGAGCCCTAGCAAGAGGTGTCTCATCAAACAGGAGCCCTCTAGTCCAGATGTTAAAAAAGTGAAAATTGAACGGGATTCAGACGACACAAAGGCCCAGTGTAGCAGCGGTTTGCCGGTGAGTCTCTCTTTGCTCTTCTTTTAGCTTTTAGGTGACTCTTGTTCTAGGCAAACCTGTTAAAATGAAATTTTTTTTGGTAAGTTTTGACCACAATCGTTAGCCGATGTCCCTTGGGCGAACTTGGTCACCCTAAAAAGATAAAAAAAAACAAAGAAAATAAGTTTTAAGATAAAGTCAGATTAAGAAAATGTGTTTGGTATATAAATTCATAGCATTATTTGATAATCTATCGTGAAGTCCTTGGAGATTGTTTTTATCAGATCTGTTCAGATTATAATATTAATAAAGTTCCCGCATTGTAGCGCAAGTGTATAAACAGACTAAGCAATTATGCACAGACTAAAAATACGTAATGAAAATTTGGTTGAGGGAATCTAGAATTGAAAATATACAATACATACAGTATTTATTATACATACAGTATTTATCTAGGCTTAAGTGTGCAAGGTTCTTGCAAACACTCTTATTGTAAAAAACAGTCATTGTCTGAGAAATGATGAATCACACTTGTTTTGCGAAATATTTCACATTGTGATGTTATTAATGACGATTTGGTTTACGCTGTTAAAAAATGTATGATAATAATATTCTTTCCACTTATCACTTTACAGTCGTTACCTACTAGGGTGCCCATAAATTTATTGACTGAAAGCCCATGCATTTTTTTTCTCTTCATCTAAGTAGCATCTTCTGGTACAACAAATTAAGGAATTACCCATTGTCATTTAAAATGCTTTTGGGGTAAATGATCTGCCAAACTTGAAATGAGTTCTCCCCTTACCTCACTCAGAAGAGTGGCTAAAAAATATAGGCCTCACGCTATATACGGGTCTTCTGTCAGGCCTTGCTACTTTCTGGAAGAGAGCGCGTTTGAAGAGGACACTTGCGTTCGTACAACAGTCTGTTCTAGAAGCTTCTAAGCTTATGTGACTCTGCCACAGTAAGAGTGATTTATTTCTCTTATTCTCCTTCCCTCCGCAGAGCTCGTCTGGCGACAGTTCCAATGCCGGCGACTCTTCACCACCTCCAGCTGTTCCGCAGAACACCAACACCAAGCGGGAGAGATGCATGTACGGAAAAGACTGCTATAGGTACGTTATGATGTGTTTGTGTGTGCGTAAATAAATAAATAAAAATATAGACAGAAAATATGACGGAATATTTATAAATGATGCTTTTGGGGCGTAGGAATAGTCGTAATTAATTTGTAAGCAATTTTAATTGTATATTGAAGTGTATTAATTGGTTTTAGGATTAGAAATATAATATAGAAATAATTTCAATTCAGATTATAAAAATTGAGCAATTAAAATACAAAATTATTAATTTAAGCCCCTAATAGTATAATATTTCATGGTAAGGCCACGCAGCAGTCTCGGCTGTTGCACGAATGGGCAGGCTCATCCGGGTAAGTACCACGACCTCACAGAAGACCGGCATAAAGTGGAAATATATTACTTTCGCGTTTCGTCTTGTGAGTGAGGTGGCCGGAGCCCAATTTTCAAAAAGTTGTCAACGCATCTGGAACCCTCGGGTGTAGCAGATGTCCATGGGCGGCGGTATTCACTTAACATCAGGTAAACAGTCTGCTCGCTTGGGAACTTCTCATATAAAAAATTATTATTATATTTATCTGTTAGTTTTTCCAGTATCCGAATAAATTGTAAAATAATTTTTTATCGAGCATTTAGTCACGCAGTGTGCATTCTACGTAAACTGAGTCGCGTTAATAACTCATTCAATAACCAACCCGATGCCTCTTTTATCGTATTCCGTTTTATCGAAATTCTCAGTAAACAGGATAACGGCTCAAATTTGATTATATGTACGTGTAAATATGCCGTACGTAACATGAGGTGACGACAAAAAAAAAAAAAAATAATCGTAAATCTCTTTGTTTATCTTCTTTCAACCGACTTCAAAAAAGAAGGAGGTTCTGAATTCGACTGTATTTTTTTTATGTTTGTTACCTCAGAACTTTCGACGGAGTGACTAAAATCGGTTATTTTGATGATTCTTTTTTTATTTGAAAGCTGGTGCTTCCCATGTGGTCCCATATCATAATTTCATTGGTATTGGACCTTGGGTTCCGGATATGCTTAGGGAACTCCTGAAAATAATTTATAAAATGAATACAGATCGAGATATTTCAATTCAGTTTTGTTTTTCTTTAACCTGTATGCCTCGTTCCAAAAGTTTTAATTATCTTTAGCCTATTTAGCTTGTTGAATTTCTTTCAACTTTATTAAGGGATCGACAACTTGTTGTTGATAGAGCTGAACTAGTTAACCGAAGTACGTTAGTCATGCGGAAACATGATCAAACATTTTACAGATAACAAAAGTGATACGCCCCCGGTATACATGTACGTGATTGATGAGGAAGATATTTTCAAAACGATATAATTGGAGTTTGTACTCAATATATTCGTATTAGAAATTCTCTAGATGTTTTTACCCGAATGACGTTAGTACATTGTGTACTTACTATTCGTTGAGTAATAAGTACAGTAATAACCTATTAACATGATCCTATGATATAGGAAATGTCACACTGACAAAGGTTTTTTACTGTGCAGTGGTTATTAAGTTAATTATTAAGAAATAAAAATATAAATAAAGTAAAGTAACAGTAGAACCAAGGTAACCGAAATAGCTCAAAAGATTGGCAAGCTGAAGTGGCGATGGGCCTGTCATATAGCTCGTAGAACCGATAACCGTTGGGGAAGAGAGGTTCTCGAGGGGCATCCTCGTATTGGATAAATGTGCTGGAAGTCGATGGATGAAGGTGGCTCAGGATCGTGCTTTGTAGCAGTCTATGGGGGAGGCCTATGTTCATTAGTGCAGCACTCAAACATGGTTGAACTGCTGATGATGAAAGTAACAGCGTTTAAATAAATTCCCCACTGCCGGGCAAAGACCCTCCTCTGTACAGACGGTGTTATATGCATTGGTGGATTTTTTTATTATTTCGACAATACGCGTTTTTTTTTATGCGACAAGTTGCCAAACGAGCAGACGGGTCACCCGATGTTAAGTGAATACCGCCGCCCATGGACATCCGCTACACCCGAGGGTTACAGATTGGCAACCTTTGAAAAATTGGGCTCCGGCGTTTCCTTCGCCGCTGGGCGCGTGACAGTATCGACACTGTAGCCCCATTCGAAACGCCCCCCGTCAGGAGGAACCCGCAGCACAAGGCGCGCTTCAGCCACCCGGCCGACGCGGACTGGGGCGCGGGCGCGCAGGCCGAGTGCCCCTACGGCTACGCGTGCGCTCGCCGCGACCCCCGCCACTGGCGCGACCACTCGCACCCCTACGGCATGCACCCGCCGCCCCCGCAAGGTACAACACCCCGCAGCCATCTCCCTCTCAATCTGCCTCCTCCAGTAAACGACCACCCGTAGCCATCTCCCTCCTAAACTTCTTATCTTACTTTCTTTTTTTCCGTTTAAACTCTTCCCCTACCATCTCAAGATACTTCCACTATCCACCGCACTATCCTTTAAATCCCCCTCACTACACAAATTTACAACAAGACAAAAGCTTCCAACCCTAGTAGTAGTAATTCTAGATTTCTATTTAGCCGACAACAGATTGAACCTCCAATACCATAAACACTATCAAAAGATTCGAACTTACCAGTATTTTCTCTGATAACATAAAAAACGATGGTTAATATTTGTTTAAATTATTGTCGAATTCCGAACAGTCTATAAATTATGGATCCCGTAATTGCGATGAAATAAGCTTCTGATTCAACACGCGAGTCTAACACATCGCCATAATTCTTCCGCAGGTATTAAAAAAAAGCGCTCGCACATCGTGCAGAGGAACGGGAACATATTCTACATAAACGCGAACACTGTCAACTTTTACGACGACCATTTCGAGGCGGAGGACACCGACGGCGAAAGTGTCGACTACGACTACGAGTTCGACTGAACGCCCCCCCCCCCCCCCTCCCCTTTCTCCCGCATCCCTTAAAATCCTCGTGTGGACATAATGTGCCGTTAAAATAACTTTTGCCTGTGTATGCAACTGTTGGTGCGTCCGCCCGTAATAGTGTAAATAACGTGAATTGATCGATTTAGGTGATATTCATACAATTTTGTTTTTTCGAATATTTTATAAGTTGTAATATATGTGTGTAATTGTGTTAGATATATTTTACGCTTATGCAGCAAGGAAAGATTACAATTATTTTGCACTGGATCGTTACAAATTTCTGTTTGAATATTTTTGAATCATTGTGCGGAATGATGAATAAGAACAGTTCTTCTGAGTGAATGAAGTAACGTCCCCCTAGTCATTCTCTCGTAGGGTTGCCAACCATACTTTATATAATATGTATTGTTGTATAGTACTGTCGGGTCTGCATACTACGTTTAAATATATATAGTACACAACAATACTATGTTTTAGTTGGTTGGATCAACTTTTATATTGCAACACCGACAAAAAATTATTTTCGGTTTTGCAAAACAAAGTGTTAAAAGTAGCTTAAAAAACTTATTTTACATCCTTAGTTCTAAAAGTAATTTTAATAAAAATAAATAAGTAACAAGTATAACTTTGTGTATTCTTTACTTTATCCGTATAGATTATTTTAAAATAATATTTTTTGTTAGCCGAGGAAATGTTGGCAACCCTAGACCTTTTCGTGCCCTTGTCTGCTGCCAAGTATTCGACGGTGATTGGAATTTCAAATAAACATGATAATTCCTCAGAAATATTTTTTTTTATTGATTTAACATGGTCGAGTAAATGTAAAAGAACATAAACGAAATACTAGAACTCCAAGTTGACAGTTATCGAAACTTTACAGCATACAAGAAGCAATTTAAACAAAAATGGGGTTAACTAAAATTAATTCAGATTATTCCATATAAGACAATATACGATTCTCATAATTTATTTTGCATTGTTACAAACACAATATGTAAGTGCATGCGTTTAGTAAATACTATGAAGAAATTGTTACGTGTACGACCATATTCGTATAATTGATGTTGCAACACTACTTTCTTTCAGTAGATGCGTTCAACTTTGGCTATCGATATTTTAAAATTTTAAAACGTACGTCTTTTAAAGTCTTGTTCAATTGATTTGATTATCGATAATTAAAAATATGTACACTTCACTGCACTATTTCTTAGCGAAGCGCGATAGTTTTGTAAGAGGAACGTCTCTACGGCAGGCCGGAAGAGGAAGAGGGCTAAGGTCGCCGAGGTGCAGGGGCCGATCGTGCAGGGGAAGAGGGCGCGCCGCCCCCTCGCCCCGCCAGGGGGCGCGTGGAGCGGCACGGAGTCCGACGAAGACCCCTACGGCACCGACGACTCCGAAGAGTGGAGCCCCCCCAGCGACCTCTCCGAGAGCCAAGACTACTCGCAGACCGTGTAGCTTTCAGAACTAACCGGTTAACCGTACCGGCGAAGGACCAAAGTGGTGTTTAACCTCTAATAAGTTGCCATATCCTTCGTCCAGTTCACGCTCTGGTTTAACATCTACCTGGACGCCCAGGTTCGTGCCAAGTATGCCCTAAACTCCTCACCAGGTCATAGAAGGTGGTGCGATGCCATCCGGAGAAAAATATTTGCAAATGAATGTAATCGAGAATCAGTGTCGACCTTCCGTCCAACGAGATTTTCGAAATTCGCATTGATTTATTTCATTTGTTCGCGTTCGTCACGTGTCCAAAAAAAAACGGGTAATCTTATATTTATTGGACTAGCAATTATTAAATTTATAGTGTTGCACCAAGGACAGGCATCGACTCCCACAGTTTACATAATTCTGACTCTTCTGTCATTCGGTTTTAGAGCTGTTTTATTGTCATCATATTTGAATGTTTCTAATATGAAACAAACATGACTTTGTTTCTTCGACGTCAAGAGAGTGATCAATTTAAGTGGGCGTGATAGAATATGGACATTAGGAAGAAATAAAATATTACAAGTACTCATGTAAGAGAAAAAGGACGGATGTATCGTTATTCTCAACATTTTTTTTTACTACTACTACTACAACTAGTTGGTACTAATTGCAAAGCCCTTGGCTAATAAATGAAGTTTTATGAAGGCTTTGGAATTTTTTAATGATATTTCAAGTTGTTACTTTAATAAAATAAGTGAAAAGAGTATATTTAGGCATTTTATTTTTCAGATTTATCCTTGTAGTCTTTACATTCAGCTGTCATACAATAGTCAACAGTACTACTACATAATTCCACTGAGGGAGTGATACATTCATAACCTAATAGTTCTAGTCTACGAGTATGATGAAACCATAATGGCACGATGACTCCGTGGCGCAGTTGCCAAGGTATTGGTTTCAGGGTTGTGGGTTCGATTCCCACGCGGTACAACTATTTGTGCGACCGAGAGATCTGTCGCAGATGAAGCTTTACATAATCCACGGACTAAAAGCGTAAACGCTTTTATAAGGAAAAAAGTTTCATATTTTTTTTAATACGCTCAAGTCTGATATCTGATTTGGTCGAAGCCGAAGTTATTCTTGGCCGGATGTGACGACCGCTGGTCTGGTGAGACATTGCTTACCGTTTTGTGAGGATTAAGGGTTATCATCTCACCATTTTATTTTACGTATTTGTCTTGTCTTTACTCTATTCAAATATTAATAAGTTATGTATTTTATTTTTATTTATCTGATTAATTAAAATTAAAAAGTAGATTTTGTGAATTGCTGAAACAGCTTATATGCTGAGCAGTTTATTGGAATGGAACGCTGAAGTTTCGAGATCAATAGAAGCCCTCGTCGTCGGAGTGGGCGGGGGCGGAGTCCCAGGACGGCTGGGCGGTGGCCAGCAGCGCGGGCGGCGCTTCGCCCCCGCGAACCCGCAGCGCATACGCGGCCGCCTCCACCTTCTCCACGTTGCGCCTAGTCGTTGCCAACTTGCGCATCAGCTCTCGAGTGCATCCGATCACACCTAAAGAGACGCGTGAACAATCATTTCAACAATAGTCAAAGGGTTTTTTATTGATTTACAAGCTGCTGCCTGCGACTACGTCTGCGTAGAATAGGCTGAAGGCGTAACATGTAGTCAAAAAGACAAATATACATAAAAATATGCATATAAATTATAGCCTACATGTTATTATGATGTATAAGCTATATTACTGTTAAGTTTCATTAAAATCCATTCAGTAGTATTTGCGTGAAAGAGTAACAAACATCCATCCTTACATACAAACTTTCGCCTTTATAATATTAGTAAGGATTCATCAGTAATCCAATGTTAAGTCGATGGATGCAGGCGGTTCAGATTCGTGCTTCGTGGCAGTTTGTGGGGGAGGCCTATGTTCAGCAGTATCTTGTATCTTGTATTAACTGATGTTTGTGCTTTCAGTCCCGAGACTATTAAAGCTTCATCTGACGCAGAACCGGTGGGCTAGCCAGAACCCACGGGTTTGGGCCCTCAGCTGTGGGTAGGGCCGCGCATGTGCTCATGCGTGCGTTTAACTACGGCATGTCATCTAAGGGCCATCGAAGTTGCGGTTCGGACCGAGACCCCGACGGCCGTCGACTGTGCATTTAGCTAACCGGTGGCTGGGAGCGGTGAGAACCGCCCCGGAACGCGGGTGTACCTTGTGTACGCGTTGTGTGGGTCTCGCCGTGCTCAAAGGCGAGGGCGAACTAATGTCTTTGTTGCTACACTAACTGTGTGTGTAGTGTTATCCGGCGGGACCCCCGACGGTGGGTCCGACGTACCTAAGTCCCCGTTCAGCAGTGCTCTCAAACAGGCTGAATGAAGCCGCATTAAAGATGTCACAAGTTTTTCCAATCATTTTATAGTGGAAAATCGCTAATTCTGAAGGTTTTGATGAGGATAATGGAAAGAACTACTTAAATTATTGCATTGCCATCGGTCGTGTGCAAGTTTCAATTTAATTCGACTTTTTGAAGTGGGTCAAAATGACGTTTAAAGATTCTGTTACAAACATACCAAACTAATAAAAGTGTTGTATTACACTAACGCCCGGTTTCTGAAGCACTGATCATAGTAGAAGTCAACTAATCAAGCAAAAAATGTCAAATGGCTTTTCAAATGTCATTTCAAAATCCAGTTAAAAAAAGTTTTTGAAAAGCCAGTTAGCCAGGCATTAGAATTTCTTTTACAAAAATTAACGAAAAATGTTTCCCACTGACAAAGTTCTCAATGTATTTCATTTACTTTGTTTTAATTGCCTTTTAAGCCATGATTTGGCGCCTTCTCCGTCGCCATAAAAATTATTTCATTAGCTAAGGCGATCTATCGCTTTCAAATGTTCATTGTAAAAATGTTATTTGGGCAAATGTGTTATTTATATAGTAAGCGCGTTCGATGACGGAAATAGTCAAAAAGACGTTATTTTCGACGACGAAATGTTTCATTACTTTTAACCGATTACAAAAAAAAAGAGGATACTATGTTCGACTGTATATATTTTTAATTATGTATGTTCACCGATTTCTCCCCCATTTGTGGACCAATCGTTTCTCAAAATTCTTTTTTTATATGTTCAACAATGTTATAATATTTATTTATGTTGTTTTATGTGAAATACTTTCAAACAGACAGTGCGCCTGATGATCATCATGGACATCTACAACAACTGAGGGTTTACTGTGTTGATAACTTTTAAAAGAGGCCCACGGGTTACCTCACTTACCAGACGAAACGCAAACGCACAATACTTCCATTTCACGCTGATTTTCTGTGAGGCTGTGGTACTTCCCCAGATGAGCCTGCCCATTCATGCAACAGCATGAGCTATTGCATGGCCTTACTTAAAATTACCACAACACTAAGATTTAAAATTATTTATTGTCTTTTTTGGTGAATATTTTTTATATTCTGTATTTTCAACCAAGTGCTGCTATGATTTAACAGTAGAACAGTAGAATACATAGTAGGTACATACATAGATAAGTTTGGTGCTGAAATAATATATTTATTATTTTTTTTAAATATCAATTCAAAATTATTCATTAGGTACTTAACAGATTTTTTCTCAATGTTGTAGAATAGCATCTTACCTTAGATTAACATTATCTTCTGTTTTAGGAAAAATACCAAGACCTGGAAAAATTATCAGTGGGCTGCACAAATACCCGTATTATATAGGACTGGTTATAGGGATCCTTGCGGCTGAAGTCTACCTACATAACTAAAATAGATATCTCTAATTTTAATACTTTTATATACCAACTACATTGAGGCTAGTAAAAGTGGTGCCGAGTGTATATTTGAATGATCCATAATGGTACCTTTTACCTGGGCTTAGACATAGAACTAGGTAAAGTGAGTGGTTACTTACCTAAATAGCCTGTAAAAATCTCTCTGATATTTTGGCAGCAGTTGAAACATTCTTCACTGTCTCCACTAGAGATGCTGTTAATTGCTCTTCGCATCAGCTCACCAGTTAAATCAGCAATGCCAAGCATATAATCATTTTTTGTCAGCATGGTCACGACTGCCCTTGATTCATTATAGAATAGGTCTCCTACTGTATATGTCAGTTCCCTCTGTACATCTTCCCATTTTATAATTGTTTTACTTTCTATTAAGGAGCATAGTGTCCGGGCCTCAACGTATTCTTGGAAACCAGCAGTAACTGCTTGGGAGTGTAAGTAAGCTGGAACATTCTCAAGCTCCAGTCCAATACTTTTGATTGGACCTTTGGCCAACTTCTGAAGCCTTTCCTTTGCTTCTAAAATTGCTTTTTCACATGTTTCTTTACTAGAAAAATTACCCACAAAGAATTGTTTTAATGTCTGGTCTGCTGGGAATATTTATTACTTTCATAAGTACAAACTAGAAATTAAAGTAATCTCTACTCACGTAATAGCAGAGTGCAATAAGAAAATTATCCTTTTGCTCTCTATGGTAATATCCCTGGATAATTTCACCAAGCGCTCGTGGCGATCTTGTCGAGCATTTAGTTTCAAAGCGGCCGCTTTAAACATCGCAAGTACTGGGCTATCCGCTGGTAGAGATACGGCTGCCTCTCGAGCAACCGATGACAATGTATGCTGATTGTGATGGCGGTTATTACGATATCTACCTGAATATTAATGTTTAAATTAAAAAAAGGCGAAACCCAAAGATCATAAACGTATATTCAAATATTTGAAAAAATATAACAGTCACCTCTGCACGACATGTTTGCAAAAGTATCTTAATGTATCTTTTATTAAATTTTTATGTCAGCAATACGAATCAAATAGTTTCTATTTTTTATTTATGTTTGTTTGTTTATAATTTATCAAATTCGAACTTAACCTCAGTCAGACCTATTTGACTTGACAATAGATTTTGATTATTGATTAACATGACTACGAGTATGACCATAGCAGTGTTACCAACTCTCAAAAACATTTGTCCCTAACGCTTAAGTCAAAAACCTCCTAACAAAATGATATTATTAAAAATTAATTCACGATACTATATTTCCTTAAGCCACTAGATCAACATGTAAATATGATTGGGTAAATTGCGATACTCCAGGCTCTTTATGTTTTTTTAATAAAAAGTATGATAAAACATAAGAATTCAAAAAATCCCTAAAAAATCTCATCGCCTTTGTTTACCCCTACATTTAAAGGGGATACCCCTAATCTGGCAACTCTGGACCATAGATAATACCATAGTACGGAAGGGGAAGAGGCCTCCGCCAAGCAGGGGGACATGTAGAGGCTGATACTTTACATGGCACATACTAATGTTAAACCATCGGTTACGAAATTAAACCAGGAAAGCTATAATGTAATTTGAAAAACCAGTTATGAAAATTAAGAGAAATTATTTACGAAACACTAATGCCCGGTTTCTGAAACACTGATCATCGTAGAAGTCAACTAATCAGCTGTTAAATGGCTTTTCAAATGTTATTTAAGTTGCCAAAAGGATTGTAAAACTCTTTGAATTGATTATTCTGATTATTAAGAACATCATCCTTTGACTAGTCCCGCAGGATAACACCCACAGCTAGTGTAACAACAAACATAATAGTTCGCCCTCGCCTCCAAGCACGGCGAGACCAACACAACGCGTACACAAGGTACACCCGCGTTCCAGGGCGGTTCTCAACGCCCCCAGCCACCGATTTGCTAAAAACACAGTCGACGGCCATCGAGGTCCCGGTCTGATCCGCATCCTTGGTGGCCCTTAGATGACATACCATAGTTAAACGCACGCATAAGCACATGTAGATTCTGGCTAGCCCACCGGTTCTTTTCTGCGTCAGATGAAGCTTTAATAGTCTCGGGTCTGAAAGCAAAAACATCAGTTAATACAAGATACAAGACTATCGATATCTAAGGACAGTTTGCAAACGTACTATAATTTCATTACTTTACCTAAATTATCAATATTATAGCATTCACTGCCAATCCAACATTAAAACAAGTTCTTTGGGTTGTAATCACGTTGTAATTCTTTAACTTTTTTCAATCCATGGACTTTTGATAATAATTGGACTTTTTTCAATACTCCGCTTTCTCAAACAGTCACTTTATACTCGTGCCTTTGTACGATTAATTTTTGGGAGCCGGCAGGAGGGAATAATTAAGATGCAGTACAAAGAACAAGCCGTGTTGAGAAAAACATAATCTTTTATTGTCACTCGTTGCTATATAATTTGTCAATAATAGGGTAATGCTAGACCGATGAGAGTAAGGGTGTAAGATAAGAGCGGTGCTACACAGTAGCAAATGAGTCGTTTATTATTTTTGTGGTATGGGCGTTCCATTCTTATTCAAAATTCAAAGTGATAACAATTTATTGCGAGTTTTTGAGTAAAATTTTTATTTTTTGTGCATTACCAATAAAAATAATAGTGTACTATAATTTTTTGTCAAATACCTTTTAAATTATTTGTACTATCTTTTTACCGCACCTTAATTCAGCCCTGCTGCTGACAGTCTGACAGTGACTTATTAATTTTTTCTTAGCGTTTGCTCATTGCTGCGTCGAGTAGGTATTTGGTTTTTTCATGTTGTGTTTGTAAATTTCTTTCTTGTTTATGTTGTACTAGAGGAACTCATTTAATTCTTTTGGAATTTTCAGGAATTCGCGTCGACTGACCAGAGTCCGCGAATTTTTCTTGTCATCATCAAAGTAAAGCAATTATTTGCCGATCGTAGTTTAAACGTTACTACTCGATTTCTCTCTTTGGTATGTAGTTTCCACTAAATAAGGTTGATGCAATTAATTAATAATATTATAAATACTATATCTATATATGTGTATTTTCAGCCATACACGATGTCTCAAACTCTAACTTTTGGTGACTCATGTGCCCCAATAACGTGTCATGCTTGGAATAAGGATAGGACTCGTAAGTGTACTTCTTAGTTTTTTAAAAGTAAACTCTGTACATCTGACCAGTGCTCAGCTAGTAAATTTTAAGTTCTACACTCGTCACTCTTTTGCGAAGATTCATGATCTTGAATAGTTTGTATCAGAGACTTTATTTTTGGCTTAAGACAACTTACAAGGTTTAATATAGTTTTCTAAAATAATTTAATCATTTTATTTATTTATTTGCATGTTTTCAAAGGTAATATTGGATAACAGTTTCTATATGATCTATAATCGGGTTTAATTATCTTGTATGATTAGACCTAAATATGCAAACTACCTAAAGTTTTATGTTCATAACTGCTTGAGGCAAACCTTAATGAACGATTTCATGGTTTCTGCACATCACATTTTTCTGATTTAAAAATAGTTTAGCTGAGTCTAGTTGAGCAGTTCAGAGTCCAGGCCCTTGCTTTTAATTCAATATACTGAAGCAACCTGAGTTCAAATCCCAGTGTCAGCACCAATGAAATTGCTTATTTTAAGTACCAACTTATCACATGCTTGGCAGTTAATTCGAACATAGTGTAGAAACCAGCATATTTTTAAAATAACAAAAAAAATACTTCAAAGATATGAAGTCTGTCAATCCACAGTGGGGGTCACATGGTGGACTATGCCTTAATACCCTTTATATCGAGGTGACCTTTGCTCAGCAGTGGGACGAGTATAGGCTGTTACTTTACTTTTTTTTACTGCACTCAGTGGAAATAGATCTTAAATATGTACTACTTGCCCTAGAACTAGAAAGTGTTGCAAAATTATTGCACATTTTCTAGTCTTCTATTTTAGTCCTTAATTCACATGATAAAATACACTCTTGCCATTAATCTTTCAAATTTTTTTCGTATTAGGAAATTCATCATGACATTTTCAGCCTGTTTGAATCTACTGCTGAATCAGGGATTAGTCTGTTATGTAGTGTTACTATATAAATATTTATACTAACTATAACTTAACAGTCTATTACATTACATTTTTTTCCTGTTACTATTCTCCAATTATAATATATTACAAATATTTTTCAGAAATAGCTTTTTCACCCAACAACAATGAAGTGCATATTTACCAAAAAGATGGTAATGACTGGAAGCAGACTAATAATCTAGTTGAGCATGACCTAAGGGTTATGGGCATTGATTGGGCTCCCAACACAAACAGGATTGTCACCTGCTCTGTCGACCGTAATGCCTATGTCTGGACTCAGGGAGAGGATGGTAAGTGGACTACCACTCTTGTCCTGTTAAGGATCAACCGAGCGGCTACCTGCGTTAAATGGTCACCGATGGAGAACAAGTTTGCCGTTGGCTCCGGTGCCCGTTTGATCTCAATATGTTACTTTGAAAAGGAGAACAACTGGTGGGTGTCCAAGCACATAAAGAAGCCCATCCGCTCGACCGTCACCACTTTGGATTGGCATCCCAACAATATACTCCTTGTGGCCGGATCTGCCGATTTCAAGGTCAGGGTGTTTTCGGCTTACATCAAAGATATTGAAGATCAGCCTGGTCCAAATGTTTGGGGATCCAAGCTTCCTTTGGGACAGTTACTGGCCGAGTTCCCTAATTCGACGTCCGGTGGCGGTTGGGTGCACAGCGTTTCCTTCTCGGCGGACGGAAATAAAGTCGCCTGGGTCGGACACGACAGCTCTATAAACGTTGCTGATGCGACCCAAGGCAAGGCGGTGATAAAACTTAAGACTGAATACCTGCCGTTCTTAGGGTGCAATTGGATTTCTAACAACTCCCTCTTAGTGGCAGGGCACAGTTGCATTCCATTGCTTTACTGTCATGACGGCGGTGAATTGCATTTCGTTGCCAAATTGGACAACACGCAAAGGAAAGAGTCTGGAGGGTTGTCCGCAATGAAAAAGTTCCAATCGCTCGATCGCCAGGCGCGCATCGAGACTAGCGACACCTATTTGGATTCCATTCATCAGAACGCAATTACATGCATCAGCCTCTATAAAGGCACCAAAGCTAACGCCAAGAAGTTCAGCACCTCTGGCCTGGACGGACAATTGGTGATTTGGGACTTGGATTCTCTGGAGAAGTCTATCGAAGGGCTCAAAATAGCTTAAAATGATACACAATGATATATGTTCATACTTTATTTATTATATAAGGGATATTATAGTCTGCGTGCGAGTTCTGAAATCACTCAATAGGAAAACGATTGAAGGAGGAAAGCTGTGAGGAATCACAAATCACAGTTTGATTCAGTCTAGCGAGAAAATGAAAATTGTGAAGCTGTTATAGCGGCGAGTGATATCAGCACCCCATACGGTAAAAACTTTCAAATATACATAATAAACTATAATTTATAGGTACAACGTCTATGATTTATACATTTTAAATTTTAAACTTTGATAATCAAATAATTTATATAAATTAAACAATAAGACTACCACACACTATGTATAATAGATCACTTTTAATACTACTGAAGTACTGATTGCTGTCAATGTTACATTAAAATTTAATGAAATAACAAACGCCGTTTCATTTGACACGCCCAACGCGGCGCCAGGCGGGCTCCCTGCGGGACGCCCGCGGCGCGTCCGAACCGTACAAATTTATTCAACATCAAAGTCATACTTTAACCTACGAATCTATAAGGCCATCTCAGTTTTTCGTAAATTAACTAGCTTTACTGTACGCTGACGATGTTGAACACGGGACCGATGCGGATGAAGACGCGACGGAGAACGGTACGCAGTTCCGGCTTCAGGTCAAAGCATGTGATCTCACACAGCAGCGGGTAGTAGCTGGACACGTGCGCCGCAAACTGTACAAGTTTTACATGATTAGTTGAAATTGCTGCATTGCTACGTATAAATACCTGCGTGAATACAATTTAAACTTTATATTGAAGTTGTAAATAATTCTTGCAAATAAGCAACTAGTCCTTTATGTGATAAGGTGGGAAACAAGCTAGTTCATTTAAAGTTAAGTGATTGCCGCCTTCCGTTATGGGTGCATGGCAATCTTTAAAAAGTTAACTCACGAAACGCATAAAAGGTATAATACCAAGTCATTTAAATTCTCGCAAAAAGTCTTGACATAAAACATTTAAATATCAAGTCACATATAGTATATTGTGCTTCGGATTACTGAACTTAATCTCGTGGAGATTATACTAAGATACGAAAATGATATCACCAACTAACGTCAAATAGAATGGAAGTCATGTTATAGTCGTTTCGTGATTAAAAATGAAACTGCCAGCAATAAAACTGTGGTTATCCATTATTAATATGTTGCGAATGTCCATGGGCGGCGGAAATCGCTTATCGTCAGGTGAACCGCTTGCTAGTTTGCCTCCTATTTCCATTAAAAAAAAAAGATATATAGCGCATATCGCGTAGGTTTAGAGAGTGGAGCACAGAGCTACCACGGCTGTCCATTGTAATGTTTATCATTATTGCAATGAATTTAACAAGAAAATAATGATTATTAAGAATTACCCTAATTATATCGAATGTGTGCCGTGAATAGAGCCGTGATAGCTCAGTGTCCGGGCGCTCGCCTTTAATTCAATATACTCGAGCAACCTGAGTTCGATCCCCGGTGCCGGCACCAATGAAGTTTTTTTAACTTTAAGTGCTGACTTATCACGTGCTCCGCGGTGAAGGAAAACATCGTGAGGAAACCTGCATATTTTCGAAATAATAACAAAAAAAAAAAATATATTATTTCGAAAATATGTGAAGTCCGCCAATCCGCAGTGGGGCCGCGTGGTGGACTATGCCCTGATACCCTCTGTATAGAGGAGGCCTTTGCCCAGCAGTGGGACATGTATTGGCTGTTACTTTACTTTACTTATCGAATGTGTTATGTAACTACGAAAATTAATTAGTGGTACTACATGCCTGTTTACGGTTTTGTTTAAATATAAACGAGTCGTCTATAATATACAGATAAAGAAACTACTTGTCAGATATTCAATAAAATAATCCGGTCAGTTTTTACGTCTTGTGAGACGCGCTATGTCCAAAAAACGGAACTTCGCAGTTGACTTAACCAACATAAATGGATAGTTCATCCTATTAATAGAATAGACGAACACTACATTGTAATGCGCGCGCGTTTTAACTTCCGATGTGTGCGTTTGAATACGAACAGCTATTTTAACTGAATCGGATATGGCGAACAAATCGTGAGCTACGTTAACTTGTATCAATAACAAATATTATGATAGTTCACAGTAACGTTGTCTTTGAAGATATTTTGAATGAACCCTTAACTATTTAACTCTTTCATATTTTATTGAAAACGAACAGATTTTTTTTTTCAGAATACAAAGAAAATTCAAATTGGAGCCAAGAGAGTCCTTGGACAAATGATAATCTTGTTCGTCTCTGTTGACGTGTCACATTTTGATTGATTGTGGGTTCGTTAAAAAATTTTTTGTGTCTTACAAATGTTAAGCGATATCGTCGCAGATTCGACGATTTCGAGTCGCCACCTTTTAATAAAGTGGGCCCCAGTTACCTCACCACTCACCAGACGAAACGTAGAAGTGTAACAGTTCCACGTGAAGCCGGTCTTCCCTGAACGGACCTGCCCATTTGTGTTGCGTGGCCCAACAGTTAAAACCGCTAAAAACCAAGCAAACGTATTTGTTCTCTATCATATTCTACGTTAAAAAAATTTATGTTACATAACAGGCCCATAACATGTATCATAACATTTTTTACCTGTTTTGTCGTTATAATTTGGCCACAAATGCTATGAACAATTATGTCTCATTAACATCCTACTAACCAATCCTTGACTATTAAAGCTTCATGGGACGCAGAACCGGTGGGCTAGCCAGAACCCACGGGTTTGGACCCTCCGCTATGGGTAGGGTCGCGCATGTGCTCACGCGTGCGTTTAACTACTATGGTGTGTCATCTAAGGGGCGTCGGGGTCGCGGTTCGGACCGAGACCCCGACGGCCGTCGACTGTGCATTTAGCTAATCGGTGGCTGGGAGCGGTGAGAACCGCCCCGGAACGCGGGTGTACCTTGTGTACGCGTTGTGTCGGTCTCGCCGTGCTCGGAGGCGAGGGCGAACTGGTGTGATTGTTGTTACACTAACTGTGGGTGTAGTGGTATCCGGCGGGAACTACCCAATCCTATTACATTCGGTGTCAAAGACGCAAGTCAAGTTGCCCTAGGAGAGACGTTAATGCTATCAATGTCAGTAGAAATACTACGTACCCTTTCGTCGGGCATCTTCAGTATCCGTGTGAGAATCAGCAGCAGAATGGAGGTCCAGGCGTCTCTGTGGGCCTCGTTGGTCAATCCGACAAAGTATTCGAGTGCCTCGCAGCAGATGCCGATGAGGCTCTTCTGGACCGCCGGCCAGTGGCCCCGTCGCGCCTCGTCGCCGTACATCTTGAACAGGATCCGCATCACGCAGGCCAGCGACTGAGTCTCTTGTTTCAACATGTTCGGCTTCACGGAGCCCTTGAAGTTGGCCTTCCACAGAACGTTGCGCTGCGCGTTGTTCGTGTTGAAGGTCTTCGCGAACCGATGACTGCACATCAGGCACTCGACGAGTCGCAGCAGGTGCGGCGAGCTGAGCAGCCTGTACATGCCTTGCTCTTCGCGCTGGCACTCTTGCTCCGTACCGGGCGCGCCGCCGGTTAGTTCGGCGGCCGCTAGGGCGAGAGTCTCGGCGTCCTCTTTCCTCGACGTGGCGGGGTAGAAGACGATGTTGTCGATCGTTTGAATCAGTTCGAGTTGCACGACGCACTTGATTAGGAGGCTGTTGAAGACGCGATTCGACGATTTCGCCTCGTCCCCGCTCTGCGGCTTCTTCAGTATCCCGTGGCGAACGTGCGGCGTTTCGCCATCGTCTTGCTCTTCCGGTTTCCACGTGAGCAGCGTCGTGGGCAGCGTGCTGTTGAATATATCCAGCATGATCTGGCAGGTCTTGCTCCAGGTGTCCTCGCTGAACTTCATCCCGTTCGAAATGACTAGATTTTCCAAGCAGTTAGTGCCGGACCTGGCCAGCTGCTCGTTGTCCTGCTGCACGCACCAATGCAGCTGGGCGTATAGCTGCTCCAGTAGGAGAGAGCCGAGAATGTCAAAGTACTGCGTGAAGACATCGACAATCGCATACAACGCGTGATTGCATGTTGTAGTCATCCATTCGTTCTTTTCTAGCTGGTGCTCCGGCAACTTCATGTTGTCGAAGATCCTGAATAGGATATTAAACAGATCTCTCCACCAATGCGGACGGAATGATTCACCGTGTGTTTTTATGATTTCAAACAGGACCGTGAGGCCTCGTGTGCGGACGTCTAATTTGCAGCGGCTTACGACGCATGACAGAGAGAAGAGTAATGGAAACCAACCTCTCAGCCATACTCTGTCCTCTTCGGGTGCGCCCGGTTCACCTTCTAAGCCCGCGTGCTCAGCAAAAAGTTGTGGTGAAGCCCCAACAGCTGTTGCACAAGATCTTACCAGCCTTATTGCTTCCATGGATGTATCAGGAAACTTGGCATTACAAGCGAACTCTGAGAGACACTTGACCGCATCCTGGAATGAATCTATCATAGCTGGGAATTGCTTTTCATACAGTTCCGTTATAATTTTACCAGTAGTTTGGAATGCTAGATCGACAATTGCTTCGTCTTGATCACTTGCCGCCAAATGGAATACGGAGAATATATTCTTCCAACCAGATTTAATGTTCGGAGCCTGTGAGTTTACCATTTGCGCAATACACCTCACAACCATATCCCTTATTGTAGGGGAACTGTTCTTCTTCATTATATGCTCGAATGGCCTTAAAAAGTCTTTCTGGAATTTGAAATTAGCAAATTCGCCTTTCTCAATAAACTTCATCGAAAGCTGTCTTAACGAGTCAACGGCGAAGAAAGCTATATCTTCATTACTACTGCAGCCTACTTTATTAAAATGGTCACCAAGCACTTGCCAAATTCGAGACCACTGAAGCCTAATTCTACCCATATTGTAGTAAGATATTTCAACAATTTTTTGTAGTGAAAACATTCGAGGATTTGTGGGATGACTTAATTCATCTAAAGATACCTGGCACAAAGCTTTTACAAAGTCGACTATCGCGTCACCGTCAAGCCTAGTTGAGCCCGTGAATATTCTATCAACGGCTACGACGACGCTTTGCGAACTCGTTTCTCCTATGTGCTCCTTCACACTGGGGTCTAACGCCATTAAGCTAAACTTCAAGGAGTCAGGCTGAGGTTTAATTCCCGATCCTGATAAAAACTGTGGCCGCACTCCCGTGCCAATAAGTTGGGCCAGTTCCAGTTGGGAAATGCACTTGACGACGTCTAACCAGCTGCTTCCCAGATAGTTTCCATCCGTATGAGCTACAGTTATCAAAGTTTTTATGGTGTCAATATTCTTCGCCTTCATTTCGGTAATGGGCGAGTTTGCTGTGAGCAGGGTGAATCGTGCAAGGGCTTGGACGTACGCATCCCTTTCTAAGGACATGTGGAAAATGCAAGCGATACGGACGGCGCATCTTATGCCATCTAAACACAGCGACGCGATCTCTGTATCGTCACAGTCTTGAAGGCCAACCGAAAATGCTGCGAGGAATGGGGTCCAAGCCATTTTGAACATCGGCCTAACATGCTCCACATGTTTAGCCGTCGTGAAAGGCGTCTGAACGTGCGACACTGATTCCATTAAATTCTTAGCGGCAGTCGATATCTGCTCCATCTCCATATTCCACACAAGTTTCCGCTTCTTCTCATTAGCGATCATGTGTTTGCCCGGTTTCGAAGTGTTCTTCATTTTGATCTCGTGGCCGGCGATCTCGTCGTAAATCTGCGATAAATATTCACGCGGCAGGTCATTGTTGTCGCTGATGCCGCTGTTCAGTTTGATGTATTGTTCCTTTGTCATTTTGTTCTTCACTTGCGGCGAATGCAAATCCGTTGTTAGCATTATTATGGAAAATGCTAATACGTAGACGGTGTCGGCACTCATGAATAGCGTATTGGTTGGATTGCATTCACAGTATCGTGCTGCGAATTTTTCCATTAGTCTGTCAATTTTTTGCGCTTCGCCGGGCAATCTGAAGCCTTCTAAGAAATGTCGCAAGGCCGCCACTATGTCCATGTTCGAGAAATCCATGGAATCAACATACGCATACATAACTTCTTTGGAATGGTCGTCGTTTTCACCTAAATACTCTCCTATGAATATTTTGTCGATTCTTTCGTCGGTCAGCAGCCATTCAGCTATTTCTTTCGTGGATGTTCCCAATAGACCTTGTTCCTGCAAAAATGCTACACCTTTTTTCGGCTTTCTATTAAAGAGGTCTATTCCAGTCTCCCAGACCTCTTTCTGTTGTTTCAGAACTTCGAACTGCTCGGGTGAATCTAGCGTTTCCCTATTGCCAACATTGCTAGACCCCGTTGAAATCAAACTAAGACTGGAACCACCATGGGATTTGATGCTATGATGATCTGAATCCTCTTTTATGGTTCTCTCACCGAGCGTGGTTTGCATATTAGGATTGATGTATAATTCCTTGCTCCATTCTACCATACATTTCAAAATTGACACGAGGCACTCTAGTCCCCTTATCCGCATGGATTTCTCTTGATTAGGTGTGGCACCCAACTCTAACGCTTGCCTGCCCTGTGCAATCTTAGATACATCATTCACTAATCTCTGAAACAGATTTGCCGCCGAGAGATCACAGTCATAGTTAACGTAAATGTCTACTACACTTTGGGCGTCACCGCAAATTCTTGTCAGGGCTTGTATCACCATCCACTTGTGTTCAAAAGAAGAACTTGATGTCTCTAAGATATTCATAAAGATTTCTTTGAAGAACACTTCAATTTGCTTCTTCAGGTGAACCTTAAAGTTCTGAAGGAGAGCTAAGAATATCGCAAGGGAAAGTTCAAAAACTTCTGGCACAGAGCTGACTCCATTCTTTGATAGTGCAACGCAGAGATATTGCTTAATGGCGGTTATGAACATTTCATTGTTTCGAAATACGGGCCCAGCATTTTGCAAGATTGAAAGTAACAGATGTAATGACAAAATTTTTGACCTAAGCTCATGAGATTTAGGATCTGGCGTGCCTTCGGGCAGCGGTTTCATTGATAGTTTACACAATGCTCTGAATACGAGAAATGCATCTTTTTGAAGAACATGTGTGAATTTAGCTGTGACAGAATTGTCATTCTCTGAGGCAACATCAACACTTTCTTGGGATGGTATTCTTGTAATAGAGATGGCTTCATTCGGTGCTTGTTCGTTGTTCTCATGGGATACACTAACACTGTCTTGTGAATCAGATGGATTCTCATTATTATCTGGTATGTTCTGACTGGAATCATCTTCGCATTTCTTTGTGGCGATTGAAATGGCGTTATCAATACAGAGTCAACTATTTGTTTTGCAATTGTTTTTGCTTCTAATAATTCATCTACAGCTTCATCAGGTACAGTGTTATCTTTGTTTTCTTCTATTACATGATTAGTATCTGTTACAATATTCCCGTTGGGAATTTTGTTATGAGTTTCAGCTTGAACATTAGCTTCGAATTCTAAAGCTTGATTCTCCATTTTCGTAAATATGACATTAAGCATTTGAGTCAAAGTAGCTCTAGCTGTAGTTTGGTTTATAAGGTTTTTGCTAGCTAAGTAAATGTTATAGCAAGTTCTGACAGCAAGGAGTACTGTTCCTTCATGGACTTCTACATGTTGACTTGTTATAACTGTTAAAAGTGCTTTGATAATCTGAAGCTGGACTCCTTCATCTGTCTGTGGTCCATTAAAACAACTGCATATTGTCTCCACAATTCTATCAATTAACAATTTTCTAGGAGTAGTTGAATCAGGAATGTTTCCAGTTAAATGCCCATAAGCAATAAGTTTTTGTAGGCAGTCCAAAGCAGTCACAACAATCCTTGATGCCTTACTTTGGCATGCCAGCTCAAATGGTAGAAAATATTTTTCTGCAGTAATGATGTTCGAAGCGTCATTTTTTGGTAGTGGAAGAGTTCCTGAAGATGGACTTTCGGATGATTCAGGCTGGCCTCCATTTTTTAATTCAGTTTTTATTTCCTCTGAAACAAGAATATGATATGACGAATAAAAAAAAATGTTTGTTGGGCTTTTTTAATGTTTTGAAAAACAGTTTTTTTTTGCAGAGTAAAAATCTGAAAAGCATAACATTATGATATAGTTTGAGTGTGCAGAAAGAACAGTACTTATAACCTAAAGGCAGGGATTTTATAAAGTGGGTTTTAATAAAAATCATTTAAATATTTTTATAATTATAATAATAACAATAAAACATTATTTAAACAGCAAGAACATGGGATATACAAAATGTGATCACACTAGGCGAGGCATTGTCATATTGCATAATTTGTTAGTTTACTTCCTAAATATTTTCTTTTATGTATTTAAATATTGTTAAAAGAAATAAGTCATATAGAATATACTAATGAGTCATCAGTTTCATAAATTTAAACATTGCTACACAGGTAGTTTAAATTTGCAATTGACAATTTGCTGCAGAGGTAATGTTTCTGTTGCTGGCAAGATAGCATGTCATATAATAATGATTTTTATATTTAAATAACATACTATTTACAGCAAGGTCATCAAATAAAACAATGTCATTTTGTTATAGAAGTTTTGGAGTTAAATTAACTTAATTAAAGGTCTGATTTAAGCCAATGTATAACTAACATTTCAATAATGTTATAAGTTTTAGAAATTGATGACCTGATAGTTCTTGTAAATTAGAAAAACTGTAATGATAAACAAAGTTGTGTAGAATATATCACAGTCATACAGATATTGAAATATGCTATGCTTGTTTCTTTATAATAATGCAAAAATATAAAAATATTTAAGCTTATAAAAAGTTTAGCCATATATACCTAAATACTATCAAATAACTTTACACTAAGGCACACTTTTATGATTAGAAAAAGTAATAGTGATAATAAAAAATATTTAATTATTGAGTATAACTTCACATTTCAATTTGAAATTATCAAATGACCTAACAGAGACTAATGTATTTTTTATGTAGAGTAAATTATCTAAAGTGATAAACATGTAAAATAAATTATTATACTTGCAAATGAGAGCATTAAACAGGTTTAAATATTAAGCTGATTGTAAAAAAGTGATCAAACTTTGTTTATGTAAATGCCCTTCCTTTCACATTATATTTCTTAACAGATTCTGGGTCAAATACTACTGAGTATCGGTAAAAAATGTACTTGAGTATTACATTGAACTACAGTCTGTGTTTTACAGCCATTGTGAAGTATTTTGTGAACAATTATGATTCAAATTATATTGATAAGATTTTAGCTTTCCTCACAATTCAAGGTCACATAAAATCATCCATGTGTAAATATGTATACAAATATACAATAGATGCATTGTAATTTGATTAGACCAATAAATATATGTATATGTTCAAGTGTAGTCTACTAGTAGCAATGGAAATAAGTGTTCTGTAGAATAAGCGTCAAAAAGGAAACCTTACCAAGGGCCACCTCACAAGACTTTTTCAATTGATTATGATATGATCTTTTTATGTCCTTATCCGCTAAAATCTTTTCCAAAGCTCGTACTATAAACATTTCTTTAGTTTTCAGGTTGGTTTGCATCGTTAGTTTATAATATAATCACTCCATTCGTATGTATCGGAGTGCGACTCAGTTGCGCAGCGCAAATGCAGGCATTTAGATTATTATTGAGGCACTTTAATATTGTATTCCGTTGGTTACTTTCACATTAAAAAAGTTACACAATATATGTATCATCACAAACATTTATGCAGTGAACGGTTTAGGTGAATCCATTTCAGTAAGACGGTGATTTCTCGTTTCACACCTCATCACAAACATGTCAATTTTAGAGATGCGTTCTTTTTAAGCGTTTCTAATTTACGCTGCGTAAGTGCATATTGACTTTTTGTAAATAGTTTGAAAAGTTTTGAGAGTATATTATTTCGTACACTAAGTTTAGGCCTTCCTGAATTTAAATAACATTGTTTTCCTACTTATGTCAAATGGTTAAAATTTGTAGAAAAAGTAATGAAAAGTTTTTCGCCGCTGTGGGAATCGAACCCACGTCTTCGAGATTCGCGTCTTGACGCTCCTTTTTTCTACAAATTTTGTTTAATCATCAAAAATATTTAATCTTAAATGCAGAGATTAGCACTTTAAAAATTTTAATTTAGTAAAATTGTATTACTTCCTTATTGGGCTACCCTCTTTCTGCAGTCTGAGAAAGTGGTAAAAGATTTTTGAAAAATTATGTATATAACTATGAAAATAGATAATATTTCATTAGGAAAATGGTATTTTTTTCATGTTTGAAATTGGCACAAAGCGAGAGTCAGCAGTCCCTCAACAATTCTAAAATATTCTATTCTGTTTCCCTTGGTCATGCCATCACGCGTGAATGACTCGACCGATTTCACTTTTTTTTTGTTGTGTTTGTTATTATCAGGAGAAGTTTGCTATTATATCTTATGAAAAAAAAATTAAAACAACACTTCTCTATATTTCCGTACAAAAGATTCGTAATAATACTTAAAAGTCAATTTGAACTTTAATACTATACCATAAAGTTTTAATGTTAGTGGAGGGGTTAGGGAAGGCAAAACAAGTGAGTGACTGTGGTAAAATGTCACTTGAAATGTAGACGTCTTCTTGCTGGGCATCACTACATAGTGTAAAACAAAGTCGTCTCGCTGTCTGTCTGTCCCTATGTATGCTTAAATCTTTAAACTACACAACGCATCTTGATGCAGTCAAAAGCACAAGCAGAGGTCGCGGCATCTCCGCGATCTCTGTTAATGAATGATGGATAATTCCGACAAATGAGAGGCACGACACGATACAAGGACCCCTCCTAGGTTTGTATCTCGGTTTGTAACGCAATCGATATTGAAACTTAACTAACTTTGTCTTAATAACTGTTTAATGTGCATTCTGTTAAAGCAGAATGATGTGCTAACAGAAATGATATTATATACATATACGAAGTAGATATGACACCGAAACCGAGGCTCTTAAATTACGCCACTTGGTGTAATTAAATTGCAATTCTATAGATTGCTCTCTCTTTGCTTTTCATACTTTCTAAATAATCTATAACATTAATTTATAATTATGTCATATAATATAAAGCGGAACACGTTTTAACACTGCGCGTTATGGACATGCTTCATCTTTATTAAAACATCAGTAAACGTCGCAGCTAGAAATATTTTGCTTTGAAAAGCATATTTGCTTTTCTAACCTTATGGTTGTATTATGATTGTAACCGTTTTTTGCGATAATTATAAGTAGTTTTGTGTTATTTTTTGTTTTTATTATTATGAGTTGCGTAGCCACTTAATTCACAATTTACGTACAAAACAGTTGTTTACAAGAAGTTAAAGATCTTGTGCTTTTTTTATCCACTTTTGACAATAAATTGTTGGACAACAAGTAATTTTTTTATTAAGCAAAAACAAAACCGACTTCAAATATCTCGCTCTGTATTTATATTATAATTGATTTTCAGAAGTTCCCTCCGTATCTCATGAGCCCAAGATCTAATACATAAATTAATATGGGACCACATGGAAAGCACCATCTTTCAAATAAAAAAGAATGATCAAAATCAGTTCACTCAGTCGGAAAATCTGAGTTAACAAACATAAAAAAATATCTCCTCCGCTTTTGAAGTCGGTTGAAAATAATTATGGCAATAATAAAAATAAATATAATCTACTTAAGTAGATGTCAGATAAAATATTGTACTGTCAAATATTGTGATGGCTTCGTGATGTACAGCGTTTCACTATTTACTACATTTACTTTTGAATAATCTAAAAACTCTACTAGCATTTATTTCAAAAGCGTTCAAAAACTATTCAACAAAATTGCTTCCACAATGACAGTCACGCGGGTTGCGGAGTCCCGCACAGAATTTAAATTGAAAAGCTTACCAGAAGACGCGATTTCGAGCGTTAAATTTGCGCCAAAATCCAGTCAGTTTTTGCTCGTATCATCGTGGGATTGTTCAGTGAGGTTATACGATGTCACTTCCAATGTTGAAAGGCATAAGTATACTCATGAATTGCCAGTTCTGGATGTATGTTTTCGGGTAAGCTATGTAACCATAAGACAGCGAATTATACAAAACCGCATATTTACGTTCGTTATATTTTCAAACTTTTAAATTAAATTTAAGTAACAGAAAGGTATAACTTAAAATTATAGGATGCTGTTCACTCCTACAGTGGAGGTCTTGATCAGACACTCAAGATGTATGACCTTAATGCAAGTACAGAGACAGTTCTTGGTGACCATAAAGGAGCCATTCGTTGTGTTGAGTTTTCTAATGAGGTTAATGCTGTGTTAACGGGTAGCTGGGATGGCACTGTGAAGATGTGGGACAGTCGAGTTCCCAATTGTGTGGGTACATACAACCAAGGAAATGAAAGGGTAAAATTAATTTCATAATTAAAAATGTTGTTTGTCGCTGTTTTAGGACTGAAATATTTATTTCATATTAATTATTACCTATATATCAGACCTCCATCCGTGTTAAACATTTATTTTTATATTTTATTATATTTCAGGTATATACAATGAGCATAGTAGGTGAGAAATTTGTTGTGGGCACATCTGGACGTAAGATATTTGTATGGGATGTTCGTAATATGGGTCATGTTAATCAAAGACGAGAGTCATCACTAAAGTACCAAACTCGGTGCATAAGAGTGTTCCCTAACAAGCAGGGCTATGTTCTCAGCTCAATTGAAGGGAGAGTAGCTGTGGAATATCTGGACAGTAATCCAGAGGTACAGAAGAAGAAGTATGCTTTCAAATGTCATAGAATTAAAGATGGTGGTAAGTAATGGTGCTTTTGCTTTTTAGGGCTGAAACAAATTTAATTATGGATAAATAAAGTGAAGTCTTGAAAAGCTTCTGCTGCTCTAAGATAGGTTTCCTTGACTGGGGAAGTCACAGAGCTATAGAAGAGGTATAACTTTGTATACTTTTGCATTTTGCTTAGATAGAGATTTAGGCTACTCCCTTAATGGTTTGTAAAGCATCTGCTGGCATCCTTCCTGGGGTTGCTGATGATCTATATAGGAGTTTTTTATCATATAAAAAATTAAACTGAAATAGATGTTAATTTCTTCGCTTTATATTTTTGTATCTTATTTTCATCATATAAACTGTGTTAAAACTTTCTTTTGATTTCAGGTTTAGAAAAGATTTACCCTGTCAATGCTATCAGCTTTCATTCAGTGTATAACACCTTTGCAACAGGTGGGTCTGATGGATATGTTAACATATGGGATGGTTTCAACAAAAAGCGTCTCTGTCAGTTCCACAGGTAAGGAGATTCAAGTCTTTGTTGTTTTATTTCTTTACATATATTACGGTTTTTAAAATGGATGATTGATGAAGAAACATTAGTGTTAAAATATACAATATTTTGGTTGGGCCGCTCAAGGTCTTCTGCAGGTGCATGATGTATATATGGGCATAGGGTGGCAATAATCTCTTCGTTGATCCACCTTCTTGCTTGCAAACTTATCAAATAAAAAAAAATATATTTCAATTAATCTATTCTATCTTTTTGGGAACTTACACTAAGTACCCTTTGAGTGAAATGTAATCTGTTTTTAAGTAACATTTATATTTATAATAGGGAAAAATATAGCATGCAACACCCTTTTTATCAACTGAATGATACAATTCTATTTAAAAGTTCCAAATCTTGCAAGTCTATAGTGAACATAAGGATATCTTCCAGTGACATAAATCCTTGGAACATATAACTCTTACTGAGCTGTTCTTGGAATTTATATTTATATCTCAAATATATTTTATGACCCTTTTTGATTTTTTTGTGCTAATTAGCACCCAAAATGGATCATCATTCAACATTGTTAACATTTTCGCAGCCTGAGGATATCGGGCCCTTAGCTCAGTGCCCAGACTGTTTGCGCCCAGACCTGAAAACTTTACAATTTTGAATCCTGGCAGCCCTGAAAAATTTGCAACTTTATCTGTTAAATTGACATTTAAATTTTGTCTTAAAAATATTAATTTTGATAGCAAAGACAACATCTCTCAATCAAATATACAGCGTGTAGTTACAACCGCGACCGTAAATGAACACACATATAAAGGATAACTTTTTTAAATTGTATTAAACATTTATATTCTTTAAACATCAATATTTACCGAGTTATTAAATTTTCCAAAACTAACGTTTTTAGAACACCCTTACATATAAATCGGTAACGTAAAGTTCAATTGTAAAGGTCACAAAGCATATGATTGTGTTGAATGAATTTGAAAGAGATAAAACATACTGTTAGAAGGAGAGATTTGTAGTGGAAGTTGCGGCAACAAATGAAAAAGTGTCTGAATGTTGAAATAGGATGATATGAATGAAATAGGATGTTACAAATTTTGTTCCTTTTTTACTTAATTAGTTTGTTTGAAAAATATATTTTTTTAATTATGGATTTTTTAACGTTTTATATTTTTTTATGATTATTGGCAAGTAGCATTAGACATGTTTTAATTCAATGTTGCGGTGGCAACGTCACGCTGTATATTGTTAAATGTTGAGTATTGACATAGTGCAAAGTTGCACACTAGATAGTGCCAAGTGTTGATAAAATTGTAAACAAATATGGATATTGGGCACTTAGCTGAGTACCTAGAACAGGGCCCTGAAGTAAAGACAGTTTATCTATTAAATTCTCATTTAAATCTCATTATTTATAGTTATATATAGAAACCCTTATATTATACATACCTCTGATATTGTTATTTACTCTTATGTAAATGTTTGACTACAGATACAACACTGCAGTGTCATCTCTTAGCTTCTCCCATGACGGATCGGCACTGGCCATTGCTTGCTCTCAGCTTGATGAGTCCCAATTAGAGGACCCAAGCCTGAAGACATCATTTACATCAGATATGTAACCGATCAAGAGACCAAACCCAAATGAGGAATGGATTACGCCCGATAGATCTGAAAAACAATATTTATGGCTTTATAGAAGTGCTACCCATTGGTGTTTCTGTGTTTTTATGCCTTCTTATCTCAATTATTGTTTCTAAAGGACAAATAATGTTTAAACAGAAGTATAAAGAAGTTACTGACTACAGTCATTTCAAACAGAAGTGGTGTACTAAATTGTACAAAAGCTTTCATTGAGTAATTACTTTCATTAAAATTGTTTCATTAAAATAAAGAGCTATGTTACTTTACTGCTTATTGTTTGATCATCGTCATATTCTTTGCAATTACTATACTTAAAATATTAATAATTTCGTCCAGAAAAAATGATTTGATTTGAACAATAGGTATAGTGTTTCTGAACATGGTCTGATAGTATAATGGCTTCTGTTTTCTTTGTATCTCCGTGTGTCAAAATGCAAATTCTTTATTTGAATTTTATTTGAAATGCTTTACAATCTTACATATTTTATAACCTAAAAGTATTGCTTCAATTTTTTGTTAATTAGTGTTGAATTTGACTTCCGAAACATAAAAATATGAGTACAGACTAAATATTTGTAGGTGTGTTGTGCCGAAACTTATTGTAGGATTACATAGGTGTTACATCGATGTCTGAAACGAATATACTAGCGATTATATGCATGAAGTGTGTTAAGGTTTAATTTATCGTCGTCCTCTCTATAAAGCCATAAAATTGTGAACTGTCGGGTGTTCCAGAAAATGTAGTTGAATGTGTCAGTGGTGTACTTTAAGTGATTAAGTGGAGTAACAATAAATACTAAGTTTATTGCCGTTGTTTCAATGAATGCCATCTTTATACCTTAGTGTGGAAAGTCAACCTTTTGTTGTGCGTAAATGGATTCAAAAGTAAAATATTTCTGTCTGTATTATAAATATAAAAATAAAAGCGTGTATATTTTTTCGTGGCGTCCGGCAAGTATTAGATGTCAACCAGAAGTAGGGTCTCTCAAAGGGCTTGTTAATGTAAAATACACCTTTAAAAAAAAACATAACATATAATAAAATAGGTAACATCCACAAATAAGTGTAAATAATTTCAAACAGTTTGTCAAAGATACCGCAATAGCTACTTTCTAATATCTTGAGATAAGAGGCCGTTACAATACATACATAATAAGGATTTGGAAGAGTGTCAGTAAAAAGTAGAGATGGGTCGTATCGCTTTTTCTGAGTAGGGATTTCGATTTCAAATATCAGATTTCGAAACTATGTATTTTAATATCTCGATATTTTACGGTCCCGTATCCACCTTGAATTCTAAAAAAAAAAAAAGAGTATTTAAAAAGTTGATTCATTCTATGAACATAATTTTCCTGATATTTAAAACTTAACTTATTTACAATTATGTGTGGGTTAATAAGTATTTAGATTCCTCTGGGTTTAAATTCACGTTTACGAACGTAAGCTGTTTGACTTTAATCGTCGAAAGTCTTGTTCGACGATCATTATACTTATACATAACTAAAGCTATTACCAGTGATACCAACTGTTCAAAAAGAATACTTCTAAATAAATTCGAAAACCCACTAAAATTGACTAAATTCAAAAAACTTACTGAATTTAAAATCACGATTTTTTATACTATTAAGGTAACATTAAAACATTACCTGATAAAATTAAAAATTCATTAAAAATAGAAATTGAAGTAATATAAAAATGATTTATTTTAACATCTTATATATCGCTCAATAATTGACTTTGACATATTTTTAAAACACGCAATCATGAGTGACAATATCTTTATAATTTGTGTAAGAAATAAAATACATTCAGTATTAGGGCGGAAGAATTTAAAATATACACACGAAGCACATAAGCCTTGGTCTGATTTCCACCCAAGCAACAGCACTATTGAATTATATTTTTCACTTTGCGGTATGAATAAAAATTAACCAATAAAAATATTCACAAAAAATTTACAAAAAAGCCATTTACTAAGACAGAAAATTCTAAGTAGTAAGTTGGCATCCCTTACTATTACGTGCTTGGTACCAATGCAATCCAGCTCAAGACTAAACAAAATTTAAAGACATCGTTAATACCGTAATTCGTATTTAAATGCAACAGAGATTTTTTTCCATGCTGTTAAGATTCAAAATTACTTAACTGCGCGCTTTGTCGCCCGTTAACTAAACAAAACAATAGAAATATAATAATATCGTTGTAGTAATCCTTGATACCATGATTAGTATTTAATTAAAACGGATCTTATTTGCATGGTGTTAAGATTCAAAATTACTTAACTTATTCATAAATCGTTTAAAAATCTGATATTGTGCCTTGCTTGCCGTACCGCTCTAACTAGCTGTAATATTTGTATCTCACGCGCTTTGTCGCTCGATATCTGATATCGTGCATTGCTTGTCGTCCCGCTCTAACTAGTGAGTATTTATATCTCACGCGCTTTGTCGCTCGATATCTGATATCGTACATTGCTTGCCGTCCCGCTCTAACTAGTGAGTATTTGTATCTCACGCGCTTTGTCCCTCGAAATCTGTTTAAAAATCAGATATTGTGGCAAACGCGTATGATATCGCGATTCGTGTCGGTATAGCGAGCGAGCACGGTACATCAGATTTCGTAAATATCAGATATTGTAAAATACATAGATATTGAACGAGCCAGTAAGCGATATTCGGATATTGTACTAATATCTAGTTTTCATATCTGATACGATTTGTATCGCCCACTTCTAGTAAAAAGCTTTTGAAGGGACTAATTATCTAAAAAGACTTCAGCAAATTCAAAATAAATTAATCTTAACCAAATAATCTTCATATAATTCTAAATAGAATCCTTATAGTAACAAGTAAGCGCAAGGTAGTATTGCGGGCTCTCGACTTTACGAGATCTCTAAAATACCTAAAAAAAAAACAGTTGTGAGGCCGAAAATCGTACTTGGCGAAATGTAATACACATAGACTTACACACACCACTTAAAAAAGCACACTGGCACTTCTGCGGTCCTGGCTCAACAGCCAACTAAGACAGTAGACGGGCCTACCCAGCTTTAATTGCTTGGCTGAGCTGTTGCAACGAATCTTAGATTTAAACTCAGGTTTAACTACTAGTAACCTTTCTACGAGCTATGTGTTCCACAAATCGATACATGGCTCGGCAAGCTGTACGATTAACTGCGAAATAAAAGTGTGTGTGAATATGTAACCTAAGCCCACCGTACTATCACTTACAAGACTCATGTGATTTTTTTGTATGAAAAAGAAGATGGTAAACGAGGAATTACAAATGCATTGCCAGACGTATTCATATTTATATAGACGTATCAGTCTCGATACACTGCTGGTGGGAAAAGAATATTTTTTTCATATGTTTAATGAGTCAGCGTTTTAGTAGTTTGCGAAACACAGGCAACATGCCATATAGCATTACGTGAACCGCTTGATCAGATGACTTCTCTATTAAATAGCACAGCACTGACACTTTATGATCGATCTAAAATTTTACGAGAAACTTATATAATTTTCTTTGTTATTTATTTGATATCAAATACATCTTTGTTATTTATTTTTAATACTATCGGAGTGCGTGTGTGATCAACCAATGAAAGTCTTCTCTTGTCACAGTCGTGGACAACCAAAAACCAAACCAAGCCAAGTTTGAACCAAAAAGTTCATTTAAGTGCAATCTTCCTACTTTAATTAAATAACTTTATAAAATACAATACGTTTGCGCCTTGCTTTATTTAATAGCAATAATAACATCTATTCAATTTGCTTCGATTAATTAATAATGATATTATGCTCATCATATTGATTGTTTAGGTGTTATTGTTCAATTATTTAAATAAATTATGTAAATTGAAATAAATGAACCCAATACATGCGCCAATTTAAAAAGTGATATATAATTAAAGCCGTTGTTTTTAAATTTCCGTTTAAAAAAAAAGCCCAGCATATAAAAAAATTAAAAATGAAAAAGTGACAAATGATTTTTGCAATCAACTAACAACAGCGATGGTCGTTGATATCTTTTTATTTGATATACAATAAAACATTAGTTGTATAATCGAAATACCGTCTAGATAACTAACCAACTAACTAATTCAACAGTTTTTTGTTGAAATGCGCGCCAAATTAAACCCGACACTATGTGAACAAAGAAAGGAGAGAATTCGCGCGCCGTATAAGTGAACTTAAGGCATCGTATTTCAAACATTTTCAAATTAACACATTTCGCGTGCACACAAGAGGTGCGTCCGCGAAAGGATTCTGCAATTAAATTTAAGAGTACTTTCGAGTCTGTTGCGTTAATATTCGCGGCGGGCCTCGTCCTATTGCCGACAGTTTAAAGTCGCCTTTCGATTAGTCCCTGCGCACAGATAATATTGTGTGTTTGAATGACTTGACCAGTCCAAATTGCCGTTCAAACAATGGTCATATTTGCGACCACCTAAAGCCTTCTTAGAAATGTTACTCGCGTCCAAGTATGAAGACGGCGCGGTGTTTGCGGACGCCGCATAACCTATCCCACATAATTATATTCCACTATTAGGAGCTTTGCTAATTGAGGAAGTAATATAAGCTTTTCTGCTCGTTTGCACGCCCACGGGAAGGCGCTTTCTGTTTGAAGAAATCACGGCCTGTTCAAATTCGTAACGGCTTCTGTTAGTTGCGTTAAGAGAGATTGCTAATAACGTTGAATCATTGTCCATGAATTGTGCCTCCTTTGGAAAATAGTTGTAGTAGGTTATGCACTTGGATATATCTACAGAAGTTAGCTTTACGTTACATTTATGCATTCATGTGGTATCTTTTTTTAGGTTCCGTACCCAAAGGGTAAAACCGGATCCTTTTACTAAGACTCCGCTGTCTGTCTGTCCGTCTGTCACCAAGCTGTATCCCATGAACCTTCATAGTTAGACAGTTGAAGTTTTCACACTATTTCACACTGTCGCTATAGCAACAAATACTAAAAA